TGAACCCTAGCAGGGGATATTGTCAAAAAGCATGATCAAATGGCTTTATTAAGAAAATTATAGGATATCTTTTTGTCATTGTTTCTATAACAGCACAACATTTACCCCATCAGACAAACTTAAGGTCATCCAGCAGGCTTTTGAGGAGATCTCTCAGAGTGTCCTGGCATCACTCCAGGAAGACTTCTTGTGGTCCATGGATGACTTATTTCCTGTTTTCTTATATGTGGTGCTACGGGCCAGGTAACAATGTTTTCTGACTTTATTATCAGTGAGTCATTATTTTTAAAAGTCTGCTGCTTAAATTTTCTGAACTGATGGCAGGAGTATGCTCTTCCACTAGAAAAAAAATCGATAAACCCATTCCACTGTGCCATTATCTTTTGGTCAAGCTGTTCTTTCTTTTTCCCATCAGCTAGATTCAGAAGGAGAATGAACATGTAAATGAAAATAACTCAGCATCTTTTTCTCTTTGGGGCAGGATTAGGAATTTAGGCTCTGAGGTGCACCTCATTGAGGATCTAATGGACCCCTATCTTCAGCATGGGGAACAGGGTATAATGTTCACCACTTTGAAGGTAAGTGTAGTTATTACTTAATACATTCCTATCTTCATATCTGTCCTTCATTTACCATATTATAAATGTCATTAACCACTGTTTTTTTGGTATAAAAGTTTAATGCAAACCTTAAATACTTTAGAACACATTTTGTTCTATACTTTAAAACATGATATGGTACATTAAAGTAGGGTAAGCCAGTTGTTCCTCAAAATACTAAAGCAAGTTCTTCATTATCTAATCCTTCTTGTAAATTGATATTCAAACTGTTATAAATGCTTACATTTATATAAAGAGTTGTAACTCTAAAAAAGAAACAGAAAGGATTCTTAGTGTCCAAGAAAGTTTCCAGCAGGAGAGCTATTTATTGGAACAAAGGTAAAACACAGAAGCCAGTATGCAGGTAATGAATTTGAATTCCATCTTCTTTCTTTCCCTTATAATCTGCAGTAACCAATAGATTACAAATGAGCTTCTTCGATCTGGGCGGCCTGGAGAGATTGTTAGAAGTCATTTGTTTCTCACCTTGATTTTTCTTGGAATATGGAAGAATTGCTCTAAAGTTTATTGAAAGAACAGCAGATAGAAAGTGCAAAAACACTTGTGAAAAAAAGAGAAAGAATAGACCTAACCTTCTAGTTAGTAAAATTTGTAAAATTATAATATGAAGATAAAATAGTATGTGACTGTCACAGGAATAGACAGATACCTAAATAGAAGGGGTAGCTCCCATGTAAACACTAGCATAATAAAAACTTCACGTGAAAGTGGAAACATCAAACACGAAAAATGGAAGAGAGGAATTATTTAACAAATGGTAAAACAAAGTATTGGATAGCTTATTAGCAGTTTTGGAGGGAGGGTAGAATAGCAAATTATAAATGCTTTGGGGTTTAAATATAGAGAAAGGAAGAGAGAAGGAAAGACAGATAAAATGAGAAAAAGAACTAGACTTCAATGTCAGGTTTCTGACGTGGGTTCACTTTTTATACTTTTCAACTAAAATATCATTAACACTTTTTTTTTTTTTGAGATAGAGTCTCACTCTGTCGCCCAGGCTGGAGTGCAGTGGCACAGTCTCTGCTCACTTCAACCTCCACTTCCCAGGTTCAAGTGATTCTCCTGCCTCAGCCTCCTGAGTAGTTGGGATTACAAGTGCCTGCCACTGTGCCTGGCTAATTTTTGTATTTTTAGCAGAGTTGGGATTTCACCAGGTTGGCCAGGCTGGTCTCGAACCCTTGACCTCAAATGATCCACCTGCCTTAGCCTCCCAAAGTGCTAGGATTACAGGCATGAGCCACTGTGCCCAGCCTACCATTAACACTTCTATTAAATAAACTGAAAAAGGGGAGAAACTGGGAAAATATTGGCCACAGATGACTTAGATTATTAGTGTTTACATTGCATGAAAAGTATCTCTAAACAGATCACCAAAGAAGAAATTGAACTAGTAAGTTCACATGCAGAAAAATAAATACTCAACCTCACTGACAATCATAGTACTGAAGATTTAAGTAAGGTACCATTTTGTGTTGCTAAATTAGCAAAAATGTTTTAAAATTACTGGTGGGGTTATAGTGAAGTCATTATTATTCCCGCATTGCTGATAATGGGGTAAGCAGCCATTACCCTTTTGGGAAGCAGTTGTTATTAACATAGATAACAGCAACATCAAAAAAAGTGGAGTTTGACTCAATGATTCTGCCCCTGGGAATTTATCCTAAGAAATTAAAGAATGGAAAAATTACATGTTATCTGCATGTACTATTCATTGGGGTATGAGTAATTCCCATACCTGGAAACTTATTCAGGGTGCTTCTTAAAAATGCAGTCCTGGAAGTTATGACTCATCAGGTCTGCAATGATGCTTAACCTGTGTATTTATTAATCATACTGGGTGATTCTAATTAGAGTTGTACCTTTTAATGATCGGTATACTCTAAACGTCCAATCAATAATGGCAAATTATGGTGTCCCTACTTGGTGAAGAATATTAGATAGCTTATAAGAAAAACTTTTTTGTTTGTTTTAGAATTAGAGCGGAAATGAAAAAATTTTGTCTATACTAATTATAAGTAGGCAAAGGATAGCCACTAGATAGGGGAACCAGAAGGGAACGGGGAAAAGCAAAATCAACTAAATCTATTGGGCCATCAACTGAATGTATTTATAAAGGATTTTGTTTCTTTAGTCCCATATGCATGGCTCTCTTTATGTAATTTCTTTAAAAGTAAATTTGAAATTATTTTGAACTTTTTTTCCAGGCATGTTACTACCAGATTCAGCGTGAGAAGCTTAACTAGGCTGCATAACAGCTTGAAAACTGGATTATCTGCTACAGAATGTTATAACACCATCTGGAGTCTTCCTGTAGTGGCAAAAAAGAACAGTGTTGAAATTGGAAAGGACTTTTTGTTATTTAGGTTGTTAAAATGAGCCTTACTAATAATAAGAGCCCTGAGCCCAGAAAAAAAGGACTATATAGTTTAAAGGGAGGATTGAAAAGGAGGTAAAAAATCAGATTAAACCAGTTCTTGGCCTATGTTAAGTTCCAAAAATACCATTCATCTACTATTTGAAAAAAGAAGAGGATATCCCTTCCTACAGTAAAGGGTATGTCTGCTACATGAAGTTGTAAGAAAAGTTTCCAGTAGACCTTCTTATATTAAAGAAGTTGATGGATATTTTTGAATTTCTGGTTTGCCTGAATCCACCTGCAGTTACCCAGATCCTGTTGCAAGAACCAGATCGTACTTGAAACTATAGTGGCCACACTCTGCCTTCCTCGATCCTTCCAGGCATATGTGCATCATGCTTCTTTGCCGAAAGGGAAAAAGGAACTTTTAAACTGCAGTTTTAACTTTTTCTAAGCTTTTTCTTGATGGGAGAGGTTCTGTGCAAAACTACCACATCCTGTCCCAGAATGTGAAATGCATCCAAATGGGAGTCTTCTGCTTCTTCACTCAAAAGAACATAGGAATTTTGTTTTTGGTTTCATTATCAGGCTGCAGAGAGTGAATGCACTGGAATTCAGACACCGACTCTGAGCTGCTAGAAACCTCATTTGTCCATGTGCAAATGCTGTATTCCGAGGCCTGTGAATGACAGCCTGAGGAGGTTTTGCATGTAGGCTGTGTTTGGAGCAGGACTAACAATTGGGAAATAAGCAAAAAACTGCTTTGTTCCCCAGCCTGGTGTTGTTCTTCCCAGTACCTCGCACTGAACTCAGGATGGGAAGGAAAAAGAAACAAGCTTTGGCTTTTTCCATCTCAAAAGTATTGTGGCACCTCAACATTTCAGTGTTTTGCTTTTTAAAAAAAAAATGCCCCATTGTAAGTTGTTGGTTTTACTGTATGAGTAACACTAGAAGCTGTTTTGAATAACATAGGTGCTCTTCCTCATCTCATCTCCTACACCGTGGTGAGCATATGGAGTGTCCTGATTTATGTCAAGTGACTCTGAAGATGTTAATTACTTTTGAAAAAGGATCATGGTTTTTGCCCTACTTTATAATCAAGACAAGTGTTTATTAAATTACTGTTTTGGAATGTTGGCTGTAATGTAACAGCAATTTTCTTAATAAAAGGCATTCATCTTTATGTGGCTGTTTTATAATTGTGGAGGAAATGAACAGGGCAGCCTAAAAAATGAAAGGAAACCCAGACTTAGTATTTTTGTAGCCCACGTCGTAATCCATGCCTCTACGTATTGGCCCCAGAAGTCCCTCTGAGGTTTTAGAAATCTCTCTCTTTAAAATAAACATAAGCCAGTAATTATAGCACCCTTTCTAGCAAAGAGCAAATTAACTTTCTGACCCCAGTAATCCAAGGACAATGGTATCAAAAGAAATCTATTTCTTTGAATAGAAAGCATGTTTTTTGTTTTTTTAAATTTTTTTATTGCATTTTAGGTTTGGGGGAACATGTGAAGAACATGCAAGATAGTTGCATAGGTACACACGTGGCAGTGTGATTTGCTGCCTTCCTCCCCTTCACCTATATCTGGCATTTCTCCCCATGCTATCTCTCCCCAACTCCCCACCCCCTGCTGTCCCTCCCCTATTTCCCCCCAACAGACCCCAGTGTGTGGTGTTCCCCTCCTTGTATCCATGTGTTCTCAATGTTCAACACCCGCCTATGAGTGAGAACACGCGGTGTTTGATTTTCTGCTCTTGTGTCAGTTTGCTGAGAATGATGGTTTCCAAGTTCATCCATGTCCCTACAAAGGACACAAACTCATCGTTTTTGATGGCTGCATAATATTCCATGGTGTATATGTGCCACATTTTCCCTGTCCAGCCTATCATCGATGGGCATTTGGGTTGGTTCCAGGTCTTTGCTATTGTAAACAGTGCTGCAGTGAACATTCATGTGCATGTGTCCTTATAGTAGAACGATTTATAATCCTTTGGATATATACCCAGTAATGGGAAAAGCATGTTTTGATAGTTACTCGTTTTTTTTTTTCCCTCCTAAACAGATTCAGGGAAGGTGAGGCTTTAAAATTCTGGTTAGAAATATTAGGTATTAATTGTTTCCCAGTTGTCATGTTTTCTCAAGAGGCCTTTCCATCTTTTTGCTTTCTCTCCCAGAATGTGCCTATCCATTGTTGGAAGGGGACCAGCCCTTAAAGATTCATTTATGTGAAATGCTTTGCATTTACATTGGGGATTGTTTTGAGTTTCTGAAGAATCACATAAATAATCACATTTGGCCAGCAAAGACAAATTTACCAAATATCTGACTGGGGAGGGGAGTGGATAATATGTGGAAATGGACAAAGAAAAACTTTATTTGAAACAAATTAATCCACTGGGAAATTTTCCAATGATGATAAGCTGTCTCAGTTCTAAGAAAAGCCATGTCACCATTCATCCTTTAACTGGAGTCTTGAATGAAACTGTTCATTTACTTTGGATTCTTCCTACTTTATGCTTTTCAGATAGCATATTAAAATGATAAATTTTGAAATGTCTTGGAGAAAAAGTCTAAATCTCCAGGCCAATGTCTGCAAATAGAAGTCCCTGGCACTCCTGCAGCAGTTTACGATGATCATTCACGTGCATGATGAATGCTCACAGCAGCCCAAGGACGCAGGTGTTATCCCCATTTCTCCCCGTTTTTCAGACAAGCAGTGGCCAAGATTTGTTCACTGCCAGAGCCGGGACTGCAGCCTAGAACTTACCTGCCTTCTACGTTCAGTGTTTTTTGCTACTGTAGCTGCCAGAGATGTCATTTCATAGCTGGTTATGCATTGAAAGTTCTTAAAAGTAAGTTAAAAATGAAAGTCTTATTAAAATCAAGTGCTTTTCACAAAATATGCTGTACTTAAAACACTCACAAATGTATTCCCAGCTTGTGTTTTCATCTGTGACAGAGAGATAAGAAGCCATGTATTTAATGTGGGTTAGAAAAGCTGATGACCCTCTGATAATTGCCATTTGGTCTCTACCTTTTGCCTTGCTGTTAGTGGTACCCTTCATCTCCTTTCTGTGATATCCCCTTCCAAATGCTCTTCCCACTGACCACCCCCTACATTATCAAGTTTTCAGATAAAGAAGTAGCTCCTATCTGAGGTAGAAAACAGGCTATTTACTAAGTTTAGAACAGTGGCTTGGGAGGGGACTGGCCACTCCCAGTGGCTTCTATTATTAGCTGAAGAATCTTCCGTTGTTTTCTCACCATTACATCAGAGATTTAATATGGTTAGTAGGTTATTGGCTTGATTTCTGATTCCGCCATATTTTTTTTCTTTCATTAAAAATGCTATCTTTGTTGTGGAATGTCTGTCATCTTGAAATAGTCAACAAAAATATTTGTGTTTTCTGCTGTTAACCGTGTGTTGGCAATTTGAGAGAAAATACTAGAACGTAAACTGAAAATTATAAATTAGACTTCAGTGCAAGGAATACGTAAGCAGATTTGTGGCAGGAAAGGCTTGTGAGTAATTTACTTGTCAGGCTGGGTTAGGCATCTGTGGATTAAATCAAAGAGGATGTGCAGAGATTTTATTGAGAGCAGTGAGGTGACTTTGGCAGCTAATAGGCCACTAGTATCTTCCACTAAAGCTTTTGTCTGGATAGGAGCAACATTGCATGTTTGCAGTCTTGCAGGTAAGAGACCTTGCCAATTAATCCTCAGTTACCAGAAGATGTATCCCGTAACTGCCTAGCTCGCCTGTCAGTTTTTAATAGGTAAAATGTAAATCTGGGTAATCTAACTCAAATGGCTTAGTTTTATTGTAACTCAAATTATATGGGGAATTTTATGAGTTCAAAACAGCAGGTTTTGCTTTGAGAAGTCATTTCTTAAGTATGGAATAATGGTTGTCAGAAAGATTGAGTATAATTGGGTATTTGCCCTGGTCCTAATCAGCAGCATTTGGACACAGGAAGCCAGCCGTTTTTGTAAGGGCCATTTCCCATCATTAAGTTTTCAAGTGCTTTTTTAGGGTTTGTCTAGTAAAAAGCATTATTTTGAAAAGCATAGTAGGGGTACGGGTTGTGGCATTCGATAGTACATTTTAAAAAGCTAATGGACATACTGGTTTTTAAAATAATATTTAGGACAAATTCCTTAGGAGTCAGTCACACTAATGCATCTCTGAGCCAAGAACTGGCCATCCTTTCGGGTTCACTGAGTCTGGAATTGCATGTGGTGGGTGCTTACTTATTTGCAGTCTCAATCAAGAATTCTCACTCTCAAGATAGCAGAAATAGGTCAGTTTCAACTGATAAATGTGGTAGAGAAGTCATGGAAAGGAAGGCAAGTCTTGCCAGGCATTAGCATCTTTCCTGAAAGATGGAAAAGAAGGAAACGAAAGAGGAAAACTTGATTTTACTACATGTTAACTCTACTGAATACCTCTTTGAATGTCAGATTACGTATCTGTAAAACAAAGGTGTTGAATTTGATGATCTCTAAGATCCCCTTCTGCCCCCGGTTTTAAAGTTTGTTAGGGAAAGAGGCTTAAGTCAGGATACTAGGCCAGGGAGGAAAGGAAGGGAGGGCAACGGCATGTGGAGTTCAGCTGCCTCCCACCTCAGGACTGAAGTCCCAGCTGCCTGCTGGCCAGTGCCTTGAGAGAGGTACCAGCCTTTTACTTCCAGGTCTTGGCCCTTCCTTGTTCTACCCCTTCCCAACAACAACTGAACATACTGAGTGCTTGCTATGGCCCAAGCACTGTTGCAGGCGAAGCTGCAGCATGAACAAAATAAGCAACGTCTCTGTTCCTCAGGCCCCCTGCAGACCATCCACCTGCAGGAGACACACTGAGTGAACCAATGGATGAGAAAACGGAAAATGAGGACAATAAGTTGCAACTGTTTTCTTAGCTACCTGGAGGGGAGGGAAAATCATTTTCTGGAAGTTTCTTTCTATGAGTTTTGTCTTAGTGTTGGCTGCCATAATAAAATACCATAGACAGTGGCTTAAACAACAAAATGTATTTTCTCATAGAGTTCTGGAGGCTGGAAGTTGAAGATCCAGGTGATAACATGTTTGGGTTCTTGTGAGGGTTCTCTTCCTGGCTTTCGGATGGCCGCATTCTCACTGTGCCCTCACTTGGCAGGGAGAGAGAGAACACACGAGCTCTGATGGCTCTTACACAGGACACTAATGACATCCTGAGGGCGCTACCCTCATGACCTTAACTAAACCTGGTTATCTCCCAAAGGCCCCATCTTCAGATACCCTCAACACTGGGGATTAGAGTTTCAACATATGAATTGGGGGTGGGGAGGCAACATTCAGTCCACAGTAACTTTGTCACAGAAACCTGAAGATGACCAGGCAAACACAGTTTTTTAGAATTTATGTAAGTTGTAGATTACTGTAATTACTGTTTTTGCCTCTGTGGCTGAGAAACTTTGGGTCAAAATGAGCTTTTTAGAATATGTGAATTCATTATCTAGGTAGCCCTGAAGTTGGCTCTGGATTTATTAGAAGCTATTTTAACCATTGCATTCACTCAAGAAGCCACAGCCTATCTATGAAGCATAGTCCGTCTGTAAAGCTCCCTCACAAGAAATTTATCTCAGAAATTTGCAATCTTTAGTGCATGCCCCCAACTGCCGAATGGGTAGGTCTATCTCAGCACAATCATCTGGGCATTGATTGTGGTCCACCTTATGATGTGTATACAACAGCTGGCTTGTTTAATCTGCAATGCTTTGTCAAGGACGTGTGATTTGTGAGATGCTGCGGGGAATCAACTGTAAGTCAGCCTGAGTGTCAGCCTCATCTGTCTGCTCTGACTTTTGTCAGCTGTCTGGCAGGCACTCCATCTCCCATTTCAATTTCTTACCCTGGAAGTGCTCCCCTCCAGGGAGGAAGATGAGTCATATATGCAACTGCGATGCTTAATGATTCAAGAGAGACAAAAACGCAGAACAGAGGAAAATGCATGGTTTAATCTGACTCAATTGCAAGTGGGCAGGGTACGTGGTGGGAGGTAAGTCAAAAAGCATAACGATGTCAAGCTTTGGTAGGACGTGGCAAACTAGAAGACTTCGGGGTGACTGGAAAGGAATGTGTGTGTGCGGGAAAGTTGTCTAAATTGCTGCGACAGCTTTCTGTGTTGCTCTTCTCACTACCTTAGAATTTAGAGACAAAATAATCATGATATTTTCTTCTTTTAGATAGCCTTCCTGGCTGCAACTCACAATCTGTCTAGGTTCTAGACAGTGGTTCTCAATCCTATCAGATTCAATACTCTAGTCTTTAACAACTAATTTGAAATATTCCTTTTATAACAAAACTCGTTATAAATTTATTATTTATTGTCCTACTATAAGAATGTTGTTGGTGCCTGCCCACGCTCCTTGGTCCTTACCATTTTGGCACACGCTGGGCCCACTCCATCTGCCAGCCCCTCCACTTGCTATCTGAAGGTATACATGTTGCATGCTGGAAGAGCCAGAAATAGTTCTCTCTGGGAAGAGGTCTCAACCTGTTGGTTCTCAACAGGGGCCGAGGGAGTGAAGGTGTTTATACACCAAGGTTGCCATGGGTGTATAAAAACCCTCCTGTTGCCATTGGTGTATAAATACCCTCACTCCCTTGGCCTGTGTTCCCCCATGGGATTAAGCTCCAGTTGCCCACAGTGGTTACATCTTGATAGCAACCTATTCCTGGCTTTTTCCCCTTCCTTGCCTCAATACCCTACTCTGCATTGTGTATTAAACCTGTGCAAAAGTGTCTTGTGTTTATATGTAAAGAAAAGTTGGTGTCTAGATTCAGATAACTACAGGTTTGTTTGCTTTTCAGTGACATGAAAGTTCATTGGAACATTTGAAAATTATACGGGGTATGAGGCAATTCTTCATTGTGTAGGGCAACTTCTGGGAAACTTTGCTTAAAGAGAAGTAGGCATGTTTCCTTTGCCCAGGTTTTCTTAATCCCTATCCTGCTGGCTGAAATGTAGACAGGATGGCTGGAGCTGCAGCTGCCATCTTGGAGCAGATAGATGAGAGCCATACTACACCCTAGGGTGGCAGAGCAGTGAGTCGGAAGGAACATATTCCCTGAGGACTTCAGGGAGTAAGGCTGCCCCATTAGCCCTGGATTCTCTCTGTCTCTGAACTTTCACATGAACAAGATATAAACTACTCTGCTAAGCCAAAATTACTTTGGGTTTCCACTTCTTGAAACTAAACCTACCTAAAGCATTATCAAAAATAAACATTAAGTATTTCAAACTAGTTTTTAATGAAATGACTCTTATGTTTGAGTTAGAGAAAGAGGACTTAGAACACAACTAGATAAGTTCGGGATAAATGACAGGCTGGTAAAATTGGGGAGGAGAAAGCAATCATTTTCCTTTCATGTCATCTTACATACCAGTTTTTAAAGACTGAGATTAAAGCTGATAGGGTTAAGAAAACTGTGTAGGCCAGGTGTGATGGCTCACACCTATAATCCCAGCACTCAGAGAAGCCAAGGTGGGAAGACTGCTTGAGCCCAGAAGTTGGAGACCAGCCTGAGCAACATGGTGAGATCCTATCTACAAAAGTTAAAAATTACCCGGTGTGGTGGCACATGCCTGTGGTCCCAGATACTCGGGTGGCTGAGGTGGGAGGATCGTTTGAACTTAGGGTGGAGGGTGCATGATCACAAGCCATGCTCATGCCACTGCACTCCAGCCTGAGCAACAGAGTGAGGAGACCCTGTTTTTTGGGAGTCTACAATATGGGACTGAGCCTGGAAAGCACTCTAGGAAGGAAAACAAAAACAAACACAGATCATTACAGTGTTGTCTCTAAATTCTAATTCTTGCAATTATGACCAGACCAGCTAGTTCTTCTATGAAGAAGTATAAGATGAGATGAGAGGAAATGGGGCACCTGAGTTGAGCTGGTCCGTGGAAGATTCTTTTCAGTTCTAATGACGGGTAAAGTCAACTGGGTAAAGAGGTAAAAGATAAATAAACACAGTATTTGTCATTTATTTTTTAAAAAGTGGGTGGCGGTGGTTTCCAGGAAATCAATTCTTCTCAAAGGCTAAAAAAACATTTAAAACATGGAGTTAGGGGGAGTATTTTATGCAATAGTAGTTTTCTCTTTCACACCACTAGTGATGGTTAAGAATAGGCGCCACAAGGGAAGACCGTGTTTCATTGGATGTGTATCCCAGTGTGTAGCACAGGGCCTGGCTTGCTCAAGAAATGCTGTTGAAAATATATTCCAGCGTGCTGAGAGCTGGTGGCCAGTGTGGCTGAGTGAGCTGTGTGCCGTTTATTGACCTGCTTCCTAGTCCTGAATTCCTTTTGGAAGCTCCAGCAGGGAGGATGATACAGTCAGATAAAGGAGCAGATCCACCAGACAAGAAGGACATGAAGCTTTCTGCCGCAACCAATCCGCAGAATGGTATGTGCCACCAGGGTTCCTTTTCTAGACCAGAAAGTAACAGCACCTCTGACATGCGATCAAATGAATAGGCAGAAATTCTGACAGATTTACTGTGAATCCTATAAGCATCTGTACACTTTTGGTTGCATGACTGCCCTACCAGTGATAACTTTAAGAGCAAAGTTGAAGGCAGGAAGGAAATAAATTGACATGGTGGATTCAAAAACTTTTTTTCCTTTACCCAACAATAGTTTATGTAAAACTTAGAATTTCTTAAGTTGTTCAAATTTAAAATATCACTCTAACACTATGAAAATACTGTAAAACAAATAGAATATTTATTGAAATGTTTAGATCCTTTAATCAGGAGAATACTGAGATTTGCATTAAAGATCTATTGGGAGTTTGCATTTTTCAGTGTCACATTCAATAAGAATTTTTTGAGAGGAAGAAATGACTCATGTTTGAGTTAGAGAAAGAGGATATAGAACACAACTAGATAATTTTGGGATAAACGACAGGCTGGTAGATGGGGGAGGGGAAAGCAATCATTTTCCTTTCATGACATCTTACATCTGCACATCGTGATCCATTATTTTACCTGATATTAAGAATGGCACTATGACAAAGCTAGCACCTTCTCATTTTGGGCAAAGAAACTGGGTTTTGGATAGTTATGTGACTTTGTGACATTCACAAAGAGATGGAACAGGGCTTAAAGCCAAATCTTTTGGCCTGAAATCCAGTGTCATTTCCACTTCTCGTGAGAGCCCGCGGCATGCCTTTCCGAGCTGCCTTTCACAGTTACACCCACACCTGCCACCCCATCTCTGCTCTCTTCCTTTCCTAGGCCTCTCCCAGATCCTGAGGCTTGTGCTGCAAGAGCTGAGTCTGTTCTACAGCCGGGATGTGAATGGAGTATGTCTCTTGTACGATCTCCTCCACTCGCCGTGGCTGCAGGCTCTGCTAAAGGTGAGTGCTGCTTTGCTTGGACGCCTTTGCTTGCTGAAGGGGTTGTGGGGAGTGTATAGAAAGCCACTGCCTTAGTCCGTTCAGGCTGGATAGCTGAATAGCTTATAAACAACAGAAATTGGTATCTCACAGTTCAGGAGGCCAGAAAGTACAAAATCAAGTCTCCAGCAGATTCAGTGTCTGTTGAGGGCTCCCTCTCTGGTTCATAAATGGTAATTGTGTTCTCACATAGCAGCAGGGGCTAGCCAGCTCTCTGAGGTTTCTTGTATAAGGGCATTAATTCCATATTCATGAGGGCAGAGCCCTGATGACTTATCACCTTCCAAAGACTTTACCTTTTTTTTTTTTTAAGACATGATCTGGCTCTGTTGCCAAGGCTGGAGTACACTGGCCTGATCTTGAGGGAAGGTGTTCTCTTTCCGGGTCCACGAGGGGGCATAGTTTTAAGGGCAAAAATTTCCCAGCGCCATGCCCCTCCCATCTCTCTCCATCTGGGAGATTTAACTGTTTATGTTTGCCAGAAGAAACTTAAGAGTCAGTCACCCCAGCGGAAGTTTAAAGGAACTCCTTTCATTGGCCAGAGGAACTTGGGAAGGTGGAAATTTCTCCTAGGATAAAGTCTCCTGCTCGTTCACCCACTCCGGATTTCCAGCTCTCTGGAATCCCCTCCCACATGGTGGGAGCTCCCTTTTCCCTCTGGGATTTCCCCTCTGGAATCCCCTTCCGCACTCTTCGTGGAAGTCTTCTCCTTTTCCTTTTCTTTTCTCTACCTAAATAAAATCACCTTTCTGCAACACTTCTTGGGTCCGATATTTACTTTTAGTAGCATAAGGCGCACCTGCAGTGGTCCCACCACGTATTCTTTAAGAGATTAGAGGCCAAAAACCCACAGCATTCTCTCAGGGAAGCCACTGCAGCCTCCACCTCCTGGGTTCAAGCGATTCTGCCGAGTAGCTGGGATTACAGGAAACTGCCACCGCGTCCGGCTAATTTTTGTTTTGTTTCATTTTGTTTTTTTGGAGATGGAGTCTTACTTTGTCACCCAGGCTGGAGTGCAGTGGTCCATCTCAGCTCACCGCAACCTCCTCCTCCCAGGTTAAAGCCAATTCTCCTGCCTCAGTCTCCTGAGTAGCTGGGATTACAGGTGTGTGCCACCACACCCAGCTGATTTTTGTATTTTTAGTAGAGATGGTCAGGCTGGTCTCGAACTCCTGACCTCATGATCCACCTGCCTCTATTAAAAATACAAAATTTTTTGCCCCTATAAAAAATAAAAAAAAATTAGCCAGATGCAGTGGCATGTACTTGTAATCCCAGCTACTCGGCAGGCTGAGGCACAGGAATCACTTGAACCTGGGAGGCAGAGGTTGCAGTGAGCTGAGATTGAGCCACTGCACTCCAGCCTGGGCATTGGAGAAATGCTCCATCTCAAAATAAATAAATAAAATAGAATAAATAAAGTTTATTATTTTTAATTTGGCTAAAATTCCATGCACTATACAATAGCATCTAGTAGATACTAGAAAAATAGCCTCCACTATCTAGTAGATGCTACTACTATAATTTTGTTGGTCTGAACAAATATTATTAAGGAAGATCCTTTTGAAGTTATTTTTTTTGGGATGTGGGTATTTCCTTCACTTAAGTGTGAAATGTGGTCTGTCTTATAATGTGTGTTAATATTATACAATAAAAGTGGCAACAACTTTGGCATGAAAAAAGTAGTACTCACAGCACTTGTTTTAAAACACCTGATTTCTATCAGGCATTGTCCCACAGGATCAGCTAAGATAGGAGTTTTAATTTCATGGTGGGTATTGCCCTTGCTCACCACTGCTAGGCCTTTGGTGAGTCATCCAATCAGCCTTCATCACTTCCAGGTAAACCTGAGTGTGGGCCCTGAGATAGAGCAGGGAAGCAGCATCATCACAGATCTGGACAGAAAAGGCTGGGGGCTGAGCTGGCCCCTTGGGCTTTATTTCTTCATCTGTAAGATGAACTCAATTCCTAAAATAAGATCAAGGGCTGCAATGCAGAGCCAGGCAGGCTTTGGTGTTATCAACTCAACCCTGGATCTTGGTATGGAAAAAAAAAATTTCCAAGGGTCTGCAGAGGTGAAGTTAGTGTTAAAAAATGAACTTGTACTGGAGAATTAGGAGATGAATGGGAAACAGCCCCAAAGAGCAAAGCAGAATACAGAGAAGCGTATGTAGCATGCCCACCTCTTATTCAGAACCTTCAGTGGCCCTGAGCCAAGCAGCTCACGTGCTGTGCAGGTGACCAATACAGGGGTCCTCACAGGTGTCTGGTCCCAAAGGGCCCCTCCTTTAAGATGCCCCTTTATGCATCATCTACAAATCCCCATTGGTTTCTGTCCCGGATATCCTACCCTCATTCTGTTTAACAAGAGTAAAAGTTTGAATTTCTTTTTATTACTGAAATGCTTGAGGAAGATCAATTTCCCAGTGGTACCCAATAATTAAGCCTTTGAAGCACAAGGCCACCAAATTCAAGTTCATTTCTCTTTGGCAACTAGAGACACAGCTTATTAAACACCAACACATGCCATGCTGTTCAGCTATTGGTGCAGTGGCCTGGGCTGTTTCTTCCCTTTGAGTCTTAAATCCAAAATGGTAATAGTAGTATTATCAATGTCAATTTCCCCTCCATTGTCCTTCTGCAGATTTATGACTGCCTTCAGGAATTTAAAGAAAAGAAACTAGCTCCTGCCACACCCCATGCACAGGCGTTATCCTATGAGGTAAGGAGATTTGATTCCACAGCCTAGTAGAGTTCTGATGTGGTGCCATTTTACCTGCATTGCTAGTTCAAATGAATTAGTCTCTAAGGAAAAGTTGTATTGATGATTATGCACCTAATAAATGTTTTAAACTGAACTTTATCATAAGGAAGAACATTGGCTGGATATCTCCCCAAGTTAAAACACTCCCTGACTGGTACCTACTTCATTGTTACCATGTGTCCATTTCTTTCTTGTTTCCTAAAGCTTGTACTCTATTGGCCTACATAAAGAGGGTAATGTTATAGTAATCATTCTCAGATGTATATCTTGATCCTGGAGATTTCCCCAAATTCCAGTCTCAAGTATCCAGCTGCCTCTTCTCCATCTTACTTGGGTGTCTAATAGAATCCTTCAAGTTCACATGTTCTAAACTGAGCTTCTGATCTTCCCCACCTGCCAGTCATCCCCACCCATTCTTCTGGCAGCCTTTTCTATCTCGGAAATGAAACCTCTGTTTTTGCAGTGCTCAGCTCAGATTCTTTGAGGTCATTTTGACTCTCTTTCTCTGATACCTCATACCCAATCAGACAGCAAATCCTCTCAGCTCTACTTTCAAAATATATCCAGGATCTTACAACCCCATACCATCATCATCATCTCTTACATAGATAATTGCAAAATAGCCTCCAACCTGGTCTCCTGTGTCCACTCTTGCTCCTGTGTAGTCTACTCTCAATTCAGCAACCAAAGATATCCCCTTTGAAAGCAAGTCAGATCATGTCACTTCTTCACTAACCCTCAAATCCTTCAAATGACTTCCCGTCTCAGAGTAAACACCAAAGTTCTCTCTCTCTCTTTTTTTTTTTTTTTTGGAGACCTAGTCTTACTCTGCTGCCCAGGCTGGGGTGTAGTGGCATGATCTCAGCTCACTGCAACCTCTGCCTCCTGGGTTCAAGCAATTCTCATGCCTCAGCCTCCTCAGTAGCTAGGACTACGGGAACCTACTACACTTAGCTAATTTTTGTATTTTGGGGTTTCACCATGTTGGCCAGGATGGTCTCGAACTCCTGACCCTAAGACATCCACCTGTCTTGGCCTCCCAAAGTGCTGGGATTATAGGCGTGAGCCACTGCGCCTATGTTCTTACATAGCTGAACACAATCAAGCTGTGTGACTTCACACTCAGTGCTTTCCCCACTCACTCTGCTCCAGCCACATTGACCCCTTGTTGTTTAAATTCATCAGGCCAGGTGCGGTAGCTCACGCCTATAATCCCAGCACTTTGGGAACCTGAGGCAGGCAAATCACTTGTGCCCAGCAGTTTAAGAACAGCCTGGCCAACATAGCAAAACCCCATCTCTACTAAAAATACACACACAATAAAAGAATTAGCTGGGTGTGGTGGTACATGCCTGTAATCCCAGAGACTGAGGCATGAGAATCGCTGAACCCAGGAGGTGGAGGTTGCAGTGAGCTAAGATCACACCACTGCATTTCAGTTTGGGTGACAGAGACTGTCACACACACACACACAAAAAAAAAAAACAACAACAACAACAACAACAACAACAACAACAACAAAAAAACCCAAGCTTCTGCCTGGGGAATTTCCCTGTGTCAGCACTGCTCCTGCCCAGGTGTCCACATGATGTGTGCCTCATCTCCTTCCAGTCTCCACTCAAATGCCACCTTCTCAGTGAGGCTTTTCCTCGTCACCTATCAAAAATTGTGCCCCTCCTAGAACTCCCTAGGAACCTTTCCTGGTTTATTTTTCTTAACGCTTGTCACCATCAAACAAAATGATTTTACTCACATATTTCACTTGTTGTCTGTGTTCCCTCCCTAGAACGTAAACTCCATGAGAATGGAGATTTTTGTCTACCTGTTTACTGCTGTTTTCACATCACCTAAAATGGTGCCCAGCACACAGTAGTGTTCAATAAATATTTGTTGAATGAATGAATAAATATAATCCATTTTATTATTTATTGCCCAAACCATATTAAGAGAAGTAGCAAAAAAGAAAGAAAGAACTCTGCTCTCAATTCCAGTAATTAACAACTCAAATTGTTCTCAGTCGTCCATAGGAAAAGCACACATGTAATATTTTATTCAGTTGTAATCCCAGTTAGTGAAGACAAAACTTTGTAAACTGCTTGTTTTCCTTTGACTGTATGTAATGGGGCTGACTGAAGTCTTGAAAGGTCTTATGTCCTCTGAAAGCAGGTCTACACCGAAACCACAGCAGAGAGATCAGAATTATTTTCTGCCTGGTACTTTTTATTGTAACAAGCATTAAAATTGCTAATCAACTGATACTCTGAAATAGAAATTATTATTCCCATTTTCTATTTGAAGAATGGAGCATCCCATGGGATTAAGCTATCTGAGTTCCCCAGGTACGTTCCTAGAGAAACTCATATAGCTTCACAAGCCTGCAGAGCATTGACATCAGCAAACAGCTATTATGTTTTAAAAGGCACAGGAGGAAAAGTGCCTTGGTTCATATGCTATTACAAAACTGGTACATCCTCCATGCTTATGTGCCAGTATGGGGCATTGGGCTTAGATCCATCTCAGATCTTGAATTCTATTTGCTATAGTAAAGTAGCAATTTTAATGAATAAAGAAGGATGGTAGGTTCTGGCTTTAAAGATGAAAAAGAAGGCTCCAATAATAGCTTTTTAAAGGTCAATATAATGTTAGTCAGTATAGATGTTATCGAGCCTGGGTGAGGTTAAGTAGGTGACAAAGATTTTTTTTTTTAATTTTATAATGTATGCTTTTCCATGAACCAGGTAGTGGAGTTGTTACGTGAAACTCCTACTTCCCCTGAGATCCAAGAGCTGAGACAAACACTCCAGGCTCCACACTTTAAGGCAAGTTCCTGCTAAGATAGAAAAGATGTCCCCATCTGGCACATAAAAGTTGGGAAGGAGAAATGTATGTGATGGAAAGTATTCTCTCTGAATAGTTGCTCTATTACTGTACATGAGTGACCAACAGATTGTACTTAAATATGCGTGACTCAGATGTGACTAGCTCAGTGTTGTCAATCATGCAGCCAAACCTGCTGTGTTTATGAAGAGGCATCCAGAACTTTCCATGGTGTCTTGTTTCCTCTACAAAGCTATTGCCCATCTAAAAATCTTGGGTAGCAAACAGGGAACATTCTAGTTATAGAGGAATAGCTCCATGATTCCTTTCCAAAGTGGGATTATTTTAAGTTTTAGATAATGTGTGTGAAGGTATTTGGAATACACAGTATAAGGATGATTATCTGTGTGAGAGGGTCTATGAAGAACATTTGATTGTAGAACAGAAACCTGTCTCTTGGTACTTACAGATTTGAGACCAACTTATCAATAAATTAGAACTTTAAGAGAATGTCTGCATTTGGAGTGCTGAAATTTAGCAGTCAAAAATTATAGTTCACAACATAACCATCAGTCATCAAATATCCTCAATGGCACACACTACTCAGAGAATTTTCTGTGTTCCAGCTGAATTCTGTCTACCAATCTCAGTCAGGGCTGCAGAAGGACAGCTTCCTCATCCCATGGAATGAAAAACTTAACCTAGTGGGCTAGTCAAAGAAACTCTTTGATCATGTCCTAAACTTCTCATTGTGTACCACATGAGCCTTTGGGTGTTACTGACAAATTAAATCAGCAAGATGTTTTGATTACTGCCCTTCATTCTACCTAAATTAGGGAAGCTATTACAAAAGTTATTTTATAGTTCAAACTCCATAGGAGCACCGCAGATTACACGGGCTGCCAGGAAATAAGAATGTTGTGGTATAATACATTTTAGCAGAAATGAAAGAGTGTATTGTGCATGGCTTTACCTCTATGTGCCTTATTTCCTTATCTACAAATTGAGGACAATTAGTGTACCTGCCTCATAAAATTATTGTGAAGATTGAATTCATTTCTGTAAAATGCTTTGCACTGTGTCTGGCATGGCTGTATTGGTGTTTGCTGTGGTTGTGTGTCTTAGATAGTATTGAATCACTATCTTCTAGAGTTGTGTGGCTCATGTGTGACATTTGCTCACCTTTTCTTTCCCTGTGCCCAGGCCTTGCTCAGTGCCCATGACACGATAGCTCAGAAAGATTTTGAACCCCTTCTCCCTCCACTGCCAGACAATATCCCTGAGAGTGAGGAAGCAATGAGGATTGTTTGTTTGGTAAAAAACCAACAGCCCCTGGTAAGGAAATCACTTTTTATCTTTCTACTTAGGATACGCCTAGGTTAACTGTGAACCAAATTATATCTATGGTTACTTGGGCAGTAGTCTTGCCTGCGATCACACATACAGTGAAAATAACAGCTGTAAATGCCACACGTTTTGCCTGTGGTTTCAAACATGTTACCTGTCATAGTGTTTTCGTTAAGGAAAGATTTCTGCTGCTTTTCTTTTGTGAAAAGCAAGGTGAGATTTATAAGACATTTTTGTGAGCAATAAGACATATCTGTTTGATTTTAATATTTGGCTTTCTGACCTATGCATATATTTCACTCAATTCCAATGCATTTGCCTGTTTCCTCCTATATTAATGAGAAGCTAAGGAAGGCATTAATTTGATTTTCTAAGAACTTTCTCTAATTAGGTTTTAATCGAGGGAGGTTTCTGTGTCTTTGGAAGAATCTAAATATTATTTTATGTCTACGTAGTTGGAACGACACCGCAGGAAGCCAAAGTTGAATGGCCTTTCCTTTTTGATGGCATGCTATAGCTGACAGGCCACAGGGCACTGTGTGGCCCCTCTGTTCCTGGTTGGCATGAACAGCCTTGTTTGAAAGACCAGAGCTGCATTGTTTGAGGGAAGCCACCTGAAAAATGGTCATGTTAGGTAACAGAGGGATCTTGTCTATTCTCTCTTCAGGGAGCCACCATCAAGCGCCATGAGATGACAGGAGACATCTTGGTGGCCAGGGTCATCCATGGTGGGCTGGCAGAGAGGAGTGGTAAGCTGGAGCAGCAGGGATCAAGTGTTACCAGAAAAACAGATTTCTCTGGCTTCTTTCCAGAGAAATCCCTCTTTCTTAACTTGGGTCAGGGCTTTAGTAAGTTCCATTGCTTGGATAAAGCAGTAAAGAAAGAAGAAACAAATATTCCAGAGAAGTTACTCCTCTCCACTAAGTCCTTTCCATTCTAGGTACCACATTAAAGTCTCTCAGTTTACATTATCAAGGCAACCTCAAAGGTAAGTATTATCATGCCATTTTATAGGTGAGGAAACTGAGGCTCAAAGAGATGACGAAACTAACTTGCTCAAAGTTATACCGTTTGAGTCAGAATTCAAGTCCAGGTCTGCCTGGCTCTATTTCCAACTTTTTCTCTGCACTTTGTCTTACTTTCAGAAGGGCATAGCTCTTTCCCATCTCAATGTCTTTTACTCACACTTTCTGCCAGTTAACCAGATTTTTATCCTTTCACTGCTGTCCTTTTTTAAACTATTTTTTTTTTGAGACAGGGTCTCACTCTGTCACTCAGCCTGGAGTGCAGTGGTAAAATCATGACTCGCTGCAGCCTCAGCCTCCTGGGCTCAAGCGATCCTTCCACCTCAGCCCCCTAGTAGCTGGGACCTAGTAGCTGGTGCACATTACCATGCCCAACCAAATTTTCTGTTTTTGTTGAGATAGGGTCTTGCTATGTTGCCCAGGCTGGTCTCAACCTCCTGGGCTCAAGCAGTCCTCCTGCCTTGGCCTCCCAGAGTGTTGGGATCACAGGCATGAGCCACCACACCTGACTACTGTTGTGCTTCTGAAATGAGTGGTTCTATACCTGCTGTACATTCTCACTACCCTGAACCCCTAAACCTAGCACATGCTTTATACCTCAACATTCTCATTGTAAATACCAAGGATTTCATAGTTGCTAAGTCCATTGGCCCTTTCTTCCTTCTCAGGTTTTCTTTTTTTTTTTTTTTTTTTTGAGACAGGGTCTCGCTCTGTCACCTAGGCTGGAGTGAAGTGGGCCAATCACACTGCTCATTGCAACCTCCACCTCCTGGGTTCAAGCAATTTCCCTGCCTCAGTCTCCCAAGTAGCTGGGATTACAGGCATGTACCACCACCCCCACGCTAATTTTTTTTTTTTTTTTTTTGTATTTTTAGTAGAGTCGGGGTTTTGTCATGTTGGCCAGGCTGGTCTCCAACTTCTGGCCTCAAGTAATCCACCCACCTCAGCCTCCCAAACTGCTAGGATTACAGGCATGAGCCACCACACCCGACCCCTTCTCAGTTTTATTTCTACTTCTTGACCACATCTGAGGCTATTGATACCTTTCTTGAATTCTTTATCATCCTTGGTTTGTGTTCCATGATGTCATCCTGCTACTTCTCTCAACCATCTGACAACTCCACTGTTTTCACTGTTTTACCTCACGTTTCTCAAGTCTTAGCTTAAACCCCAAGTTTCTCCACATTTTCTCTTTTGAAGAATACCCACCCCATTTCCTTTTTATCTGTCCTTTACTTATGACCCTGACATCTTTGTTTTTAGTGCTATTTTCTTCCCAGTGTTCTGGTTCTATTTTATAACATCAGGTTAGCAAAAATAAAAATATTTCCATAAGTCAATGCCAAGTATTGGTGATGAGGTAGAAAAATGGACTGCTCACACATTTCTGGTGGTGGTGTAAGTTGGAATAACCAGTTTTCTTTTCTATTATTATCTTATATTAAATTAAACATTTTTAGAGCATGCTTCGGTTAGTGAGTTTGTTAAATAACTATTGGGGTAGCTGCTGCTATTTTTATCTGACTTGTTTGTATCTTTCTTTGTTTTGTGTTACTGTCTGCCTAGGGTTGCTTTATGCTGGAGACAAACTGGTAGAAGTGAACGGAATTTCAGTTGAGGGACTGGACCCTGAACAAGTGATCCATATTCTGGTAAATCTTTTTGCTTTTTTGTTCATGTCTTGGTGAAATGCCAAGGCTGAACTGGGTCCATCAAGCCCACGTGTGTGCACTGGGATGTGCCAGGGACTCGAGTTCTCAGCAGCTTCCTCCATCCAGGCTCCCAGACCTTGTCTGTCACCCCTGTCGCTTGCTGACCTCCCTCCTCTACTCCGAGAAGTTCTGGTCCTGGCTGGGAAACTTCCCTTCCCAAGCTGCTCCTTCCTCCTTCAGCCTTGCGAAGACTGCCAGGGCCCCCAGCCCAGCTCCTTCATCACCTGGGTTGCTCCATTGGAAACTGAGCCTGGGGTGGACAGAGTGAGTCTTTGTAGGAGAGTCTGAACCTGAGCAAACCACTCCTTCCCCCACAAACACTTCTACAGCTGAAATGTTTAACATCTTCCTCAAGGGCAGCTTTGGGGGAAGAAAGGAGTCACCAGACAGCAGCATATAGGGATGGGGACATCCTCGGTGACCCTGCCACTGTTCCTTGTGGTTGGAGTTAAGGATTGATAACCTGATCAATGAGCATTTGCTCTCTCTCAGGTTCCTATTCCTGCCCTTCCAGCCATTCTCTGAATGGCAGTTCAGCTGTTAATAACCATAGCAGCATGCCCCTCCCGCCTCCCCCATGCACAGCCCAGGTGTGGGGCCTGGGTTGATCACTGTATGGTATTGTGGATAGACCAGTGGTTCTCAAGCTGGGTCTCTGCTAGGATTTCATAGCAGTGACTTAGAGACTGAGGTGAGGAGTGGTGCTGTGAGACCAGCACCTAAATACTTCGTGAGCCACTGCTGCAAGGTTCTGTGTGGTATAGAAGGTGCTACAAAGGAAGCTTGAAGTACTAGAAATCACACATATGCATGGCTTCTCCCACCTGGTACCAGCTGTGATATTGCTGGGACAGTGGGATTATGAAATTCCTGAGTACAAGCAGGGTCTTAATCTCTAGATGTTTAATCCTGTCACAGTGCATGTAACAGGGGAATTCTTCCTTCCCCCAGTCTGAGAGCTCCCTATTTCCACCATTAGTTTGGAAGGTTGTCAGTTCTCCCAGAAAACCTAGGAGCCTCTTCTTCCCCATCAGACTGGAGTATCTGGTGTAGAAACAGGCATTCAGGAAATGCTGACTGAGTAAGGGTATAAGGAGGGAAAGTCAGACAGAGATCCTCTCTCCGCAGGGACTGTGTGAAGAAAACCTTGCTGTATGGGGTGTTTCCGTTAGCAGTGTGGTAGTGGTGGTGGTGGGGGGTGGTCCCTGGAAGAGGCCACCTCAGTCACAGAGCGGACCTATGGCTTTTAGCAGACCAGTGATCCCAGAGCCTCACAGCAGGGCAGATGCAGGGTAAATTACTTCCTAATTTCCATTTCTGGTTGGTGACAGTTAGCTGTAGGGCCCTTTGAAAGGCTCTTGGGCGAAGTCACCATTAGACCTGGACACATTCCACAGTAACTTTGTCTACTGAGCCCCAGTAACCCTGACAGCTCCATGATCTGTCATGCTTTCTCCTCTCTTATTTTCCAGGCCATGTCTCGAGGCACCATCATGTTCAAGGTGGTTCCAGTCTCTGACCCTCCTGTGAATAGCCAGAAGATGGTAAGAATTTACCAAGCCTTCAATCTCACACACAGTAAATCCCCCAAGTAACAGCAACTAAATATGATGCATAATAATCCTATCCTTTGTACTGTGTTGGACATGGGTTCAAGACTGTGTTGGATATTTTTCAATACTGATGACCTGAAAAGCAAAACTGAGTAAATGAGTACAGTAGAAGAAGATGGGATACTGCTTATAACAGAATATCATTACATTGGGTTAAAAAAAAAAAAGGAAAGAAAGAAAGAAGATGGGATACTAAGAAGTAAAGAAGCAACATCAAAAATGGTGAAAATTTGAGCCTCAACTTCAATAGGCTAAGAGATTCTGTTCCCAAAGATACCTTTTGTCATGGTACTTAGGCTCAGGAGGCAAGTTCTCTTTTTTGGTGAGAGTGGAGAGGAAAGTTAGGAGTAGCAGGTGGAGGAGTGGGAGAAATGGTTTTAAGTCACGATAGCCCATGTGCAAGGGTTCTTCTGATAGTGACATTATGCACCTGCCATCAGGTGTACGTTCGTGCCATGACTGAGTACTGGCCCCAGGAAGATCCCGACATCCCCTGCATGGACGCTGGATTGCCTTTCCAGAAGGGGGACATCCTCCAGATTGTGGACCAGAATGATGCCCTCTGGTGGCAGGCCCGAAAAATCTCAGACCCTGCCACCTGTGCTGGGCTTGTCCCTTCTAACCACCTTCTGAAGAGGTAAGGAACGTCATCACTCCTGGACTCAGGGCTGAACCATCAGGAAATAAAATGTTCTTCTCAGGCTTCTGTTACCACAGTTAAGATGAGATCAAGAGAGACAAACAGATGAATGAGCACACACACACCAGTTTATAAATCCAAATGTCAACTTATTGATAAAACCCTAAGCATCTTAAATACCAAGGAAATGAGAATAATCATATCAGCTAGAAAACAGGGAAAAGTCTTAGGAAACAAAATTAAAAAAAGTGCTATGGCCTGAATGTTTCTGTCCCCTCCAAAATTCATATGTTGAAACCTAATCTCAGATGCAATGGTATTAAGAGCTGGGCCTTTAAGAGGTGATTAGGTCATGAGCGCTGCCCTCATGAAGGGGATTAGTGGCCTTATAAAGGAGGCCTGGGGGAGCTTATTTGCCCCTTCCACCATGTGAGGACACAGCTAACAGGCGCCATCTATGAGGCACAGAATGGGCCCTCACCAGACACTGAATCCACTGGCTCCTCAATCTTGGACTTCCCTGCTTCCAGAACTAAGAGCAAAGACATTTCTGTCATTTATAAGTGATCCAGTTTATGGTACTTCATTATAGCAACCTGCACAGGCTAAGACAAAAAAGGATTCATCTTTCAAGGCTGAGTTGAGACCTCAATTACTAAATTTCAACCCACCACCCTAACTTTATGCTGCTGAGGGTTGACAAGATACCAAGGGAGGGCATGCAAATAGAAAGAAGCAGTCCCAGGTGCAGCCACTGTTAGGAGATCAAGAAGAAAAAATGGAACCAGTAAAGGATATTGGGAAGGAAGGACCAATGAGGCAGGATGAAAATCAAGACTGTATAGGGCCCTCATCAGCTATATTACCTTCTGCTGAGAAGGCTGAGAATTGACCATTGGATTTAGTAGTATGACGGTCATTAGTGATCTTAATAAAAGCAATTTCAGTGGAGGAATGGGGCCAAACTCCTTATCAGAGTGGGATTTGAAGAAATGGGTGACAATAAGCATGGGAAACTCTTTGAGACATTTTGGGATATAGCAGAGCAGAACAATGGAGAAATAGCTACAGGGGAGTGTGGAGTGGTGTGAGTGAAATGTTTAGATGGTGTAGTAATTCACCGAGAGGGAACGTTTTGATGATATGGGAGAAAGAGAAGAGAACTGCTGTTGTCGAAGTCTTTGAGCAGGCAGAAGGAGATAAGCTTTAGTGTTCAAGAAGAGTGCTTGGCCTGACCTAAGATCATAAGCAGCTCATCCATAGAAATGGTACTAGAGGGAAGGCCGAGTAAAGGGCACAGCTGAGGATGGAGCATATGTCGGGCACTTGTGGATGTTCTCTCCTGTTATTTTCTCAGTGAAATGAGAAGCCATAAGCAGAGAGCAGGGTGGGGAAGGAGACATTGGGAAAGAGAGATTAGAAAGCTTGAAAATTTTCCTTGAGAGTTGGAGAGCAAACAGATTAGGTGAAACAGCATGATCAGCATTAAGTGCCCTCTTAAAGTTAAGTTTGAAGTGCTTCTGGGGTTCGGGTCCAGATTAGACAGAGGATTGCATTTAACAGCAAATCAAGAGGGGGCCAAGGGAGAGATTATAAGGATGGAGTGTGACAGGTAAGCTGCTTAGGAGGGAGATGAGGAAATGAAGCAGGTGAGGATTGGTGAGAAAGAAGATCAATGGATCGCAGGTCTTTATGAGGTCAACAGCGCATTGGGGCTGGGAAGATGGGAGGTGTTGGTAGAAGAAAGGGTTGCTGGAAGTTAAAATGAAGGAGAGAATGCTGGTATTGGTACTGATGAGGTCTGGGGTATGACAGTGGGAGGCAGTGTCTGAGGTTGGATGAGGGAAAGGTCATTGGAAAAGAGGAGATAAAGCACCCAAGAGGCCAGGGTGCTGGAAGGGACATTTGTATGTGTGATAAAGTCATTGAGAACTGTGACAGCACACTGTTGAGACCTGGGAGCGAGCAGGTGTGAGCTGGCGATGGCTACCAGAAAAGTAGTGGGATGATGTTCAAAGCTGGGGCTCCTAGGGAAGAGGAAGAGTCATCTGGAAATGGCAGTGAGAAGCAGGGACACACCCCCCACCTCCAGGCCCAGTGGAAGGAAGGCACATACACACAGTGATGTGCCGGAGCCATCTGACATGAGCCACCTCTTCACACATCCACATTCAGTGAAGTCAGGGTGGTAGTCTGAAATCAGCCACGGTGAGAGCTGCAGAAATGGCAGAGACTCCGAGTCAGGGCTGCCTTCCCCCAGAGCTCTTTCACCAGCACTCCACTGGGAGTGGGAGAGGAAGCATCCCCTCCTCTTGAAGGTTACAGGGGAAGCAGACCACAGGGAGAGTTCGGCTTCACTTAGAGCAAGAAGAAAAGGCTCAAAGAAGAGGCTGAAGTCTGAGAAAGTTTGGTGAAGATTTGCTGTGAGTTCCAGAGGGCGTGGGTGGGTGGCAGGGGTCTTATAGGGATTAAAGCACAGGGATAAGAGGTGACCTGAGCTAGGGGGCTGAAGGACATGAGCAGGGATAAAGGCCTAATGAGATTAGTACTCATGGTTTCAGGTCAGAAAGGGGTGAGGAGGGTCCAGTAGGGGTCTTGCAAGGAGCACACAGAACCCAATTATGGTTTTTTGGGGGGAGCACACAAATAAAGGATGGTAGGAAGTTCTCATGCTGCTTTAAGTCGTTGCCACATGAAAACCTAATATGAAAATAAGAAATTAAACAATTTCATTTAGAAGCAATATGTCAATAGCAGAGTCTACACAAATGTCTCGTTGGGGATGGATGATGGAAGGCACCTTGGGTTCTCCTGAATCTTATTCAGAAAACCAGGAGGCTCATCGGAGGACTGGAAGAGGGTGTTGAGACTAAACCCACTGTCACATCTGCACAAGAGTCCTGTCCCCAGTACAGGTAGATGTGGCTTTTGAGAAGTCAGTTTCTTAGAGCCTCAATAAATGAGGTCCTTGATATCTACAATTTTTCTATCTTTCCACCTGTCCAACTTTACTATGAGTAACAATGAGCTGAGTATTTTTAAAAATATGGATTCCTGGGCTCTTCCCTTCCCTCCCTGAGGATCTGATTCAACAGATATGGACTGAGCCAGGAATCTGCATCTTCACCAAGCACCTCAGGCGCTCACAGTAAGTGATACGAAGAGCAGCATTGTGCTTAGGAATAGTGAATGAGCACATAAAATACTTTTTGAGCTCTTTAGAAGAGTGACAGATTTGAATGCAAGTAGCTGGGGGGTTTTGTTTTTGTTTTGCTTGTTTTTACTTTCAACAGCTAGAAAATTACATCTGATTTTAGAAGACTGAGAAAGAGTGAGGAGAAAGGCTTCCCCAAAAAGGGCATATTGGTGAAAAATAATACCCATCTAAAGGAGTTTGGATGACTATATTATAAATTGGGCGAGTTAGATGTTGATGGTTTGTACCAGAGTAGCAAATATTTTTGGCAAGTGGACATGACTTTCCAGTGAGAGGCCCCATTCCTCTGGAGTTTCCTCCACAGGGAACACGTGAAGACTTATAGGATATCATTCTAGAAGAATAAAAAACCAGGACCTCCCAGAGGAGAAAGGCGAGGATGAAACCTTGTGAGGAAGCTGATAGAGAATGAGAGACACAGAGACAGAGATAGAGAGAGAGCAGACTACCGGATAAATTAACCATGGAGTAGCCAAGGGAAGGTACAGAAGGTTGAAAAACAGGAAACACAGATATTTAGAGAGCTCATCACCCAAATAGGCATCAAGAATCTTGGTTTCAGGCCTGCATGTGTTGTGAATTAAAGCACTTTAATTATGCAGAAAGTATTTCTGGAAGAATGCACAAGGAACTGGGTGGAAGGAAGGGAAGAGAACTTACATTTTTTTTGAGACGGAGTCTTGCTCTGTCACCAGGCTGGAGTCCTCAATCTCAGCTCACTGCAGCCTCTGCCTCTCGGGTTCAAGTGATTCCCCTGCCTCAGCCTCTCGAGTAGTTGGAACTATAGGTGCGCGCCACCATGCACAGAGAATTTGTTGTATTTTAGTAGAGATGGGGTTTCACCATGTTGGCCAGGATGGTCTCGATCTCCTGACCTCGTGATCCACCTGCCTTAGCCTCCCAAAGTGCTGGGATTACAAGTGTGAGCCACACTTGGCCTACTTTTTTATGCTGTGAAGATTTTTACTATGTGTATATGTTATCTCTTCATATAATTAATGAATCTGAATGCCCTGCCTGTCCATGCTAATTGAGTTTACAGTAAGGTTTCATGTATCATTTAGTCCTCACGATCCCTTAAGTGCACTGAGCCCCATTTCATAAGTGGGGAACTAAGTTTCAGATGTTAGGAGATTTGTCCAAGATCCTAAGGAGGGGAAGCCTGCCTGGAATCCAGGTCTTTTGAATCCATCACTTTGTAGATTACAGTGTAGATGCCTCCTGCTGCTAACTCTTCAACCTCCATCACATTGCCTGACTACCCTTGATTGTTTTTCTCATTTCTAAAGTGAGGAAGGTGCACCAAATTGGCCCTTTTTAAACTGCCTTGTGAATTAGAATCATATGGAGAGTTTGAGTTAAACATGCAGATGCCCTGGCTTTATCTCCAGAGAATCAGAGGCAGGAGATCTCAGAGGCCCAGATATCTGTATTTTAACAAAACCTCAGATGCATTCCAAAGTTTGAGAGATTAAATTAGAGCTTCTCACTTTTGACATAGATATGACTTATCTGGGCTGTTATTAAAGTAGATATTCTCATTTGGAAGCTTTGTGGTGGAGACTGAGATTTGCAGTTCTCACAAGTTCCCAGGTGAAGGTGATGCTGCAGTTCTGGGAATACAAAGAACGGAGCATCTTCAAGGTCTTCTCTTGCTCCAAACGGTGTTGAATAAAGAAGAAGGAAGAGAAACTTTGCTTAGAAAGTTGCTTTGAAGTAGGCAAGGCAAGGAAATGCTGCCCAAAGGAATTTCTGGGGGACCCAAGGGAAGAGGAACAAGTTAACAGAGGTTTCAGGTGCCAAGAAAAGGGGAAGCCTTGTCCTGGAGCCCAGGGGTGATTCTAGAGATCAAGAAAGGAGCAGAGTCATCTAAAGAAACTGTAGAGAGCCTCTAACAGTCTGGGAGGGAAACCTGAACATGTCATGAGAATTTGAAGGAGACTGCAGAGACAGGCTAACATGCCTGAGAGGCAGCTTACCACAGGTCATTTACTGAAACTCCATGTGCAAATTTGTGATCGTGGGCAAGATTCTCACTCTTAGTCTTTGTTGTTCTGAAAAGATCCTGTGAGGCAGAAAAAGAGATGAGAGAGGCTATATGTTTGGAAAATGTATTTGACACTGTATTTGGAGAAGTGATTACCCTTTTCACTTGGGTGAAGGCACCAGAATTCTAAGAAACATTCTGTTTGTGGTTGTCCTGGGACTTTTTCACCTGGGTTAACTGGGGTTGGCTTTTTGTATTTTGTTTTTTGTCTCACAGTTTTTGTTTTCCCCCATAGGAAGCAACGGGAATTCTGGTGGTCTCAGCCATACCAGCCTCACACCTGCCTCAAATCAACCCTATGTGAGTATTGCAACTGCCCAACAGACTTTTCCTGTTTGCTGCACAAATAAAGACCATGGCATTTCAGTAAAGAAGGGATCCAATTGATGTGAGGCTGGGCATGCCACAAGAAAGATACAGTTGTTATTCAAATCAATCTCCTTGAATGCCCCTAGGTTAGGGATTTTTAAATGGTAGTTTGGGAGAGGGAGTGGGGTAGGCTTTGCAATGAGTGCTTGCTGCTGATTGGTTGGATCGGAGATGAAATCACAGGGAGTTGAAGCTGTCCTCTTGCACTGAGTTGCTTCTGGGTGGAGTCACAGGAACCATTGGTTGGTGGGTCCAGATGGAGTCACAGGTCAGACATGCAAAAAAACCTAAAAAGATGTCACAAAAGGCCAATTTTAGGTTCTACAATAGTGATGTTATTTGCAGAAATTATTAGGGAAATTGCATATCTTATGACAGTCTACACCTTAGCAGAATTCAGGCTCTTCTCCTCCCACTAACCTGATAGTCTCTCATTAGCTTTATAAAGGCTGCTGAGTTTAAGTGGCTGCCAGTATTTTATTGATGATTTTCACATCATTGTTCATCGGGATAGTGGTCTGAAATTTTCTTTTTTTGTTGTATCTCCGCCAGAATTTGGTATCAGGACGATGCTGGCCTCATAACACAAGTTAGGGAGGTGTCCCTCTTTTTCTATTGTTTGGAATAGCTTCAGAAGGAATGGTACCAGCTCCTCTTTGTACCTCTGTTAGAATTCAGCTGTGAATCTGTTTGTTCCTGGGCTTTTTTTTTGGTTGGTAGGCTATTAATTACTGCCTCAGTTTCAGAACTTGTTACTGGTCTATTCAGGGATTCATCTTCTTTCTCTTTTAGTCTTGGGAGGGTGCATGTGACCAAAAATTTATCCATTTCTTCTAGATTTTCTAGTTTATTTGCATACAGATGTTTTTAGTATTCTCCGCTGATAGTTTGTATTTCTGTGGGATCAGTGGTGACATCCCCTTTATTATTTTTTATTGTGTCTCTTTGATTCTTCTCTCTTTTCTTCTTTGTTAGTCTGGCTTGTGGTCTATCTATTTTATTAATCTTTTCAAAAAACCAGCTCCTGGATTCATTGACATTTTGAAGGGTTTTTTGATGTCTCTATCTCCTTCAGTTCTGCTCTGATCTTAGTTATTTATTGTCTTCTGCTAGCGTCTGAATTTGTTTGCTCCTGCTTCTCTAGTTCTTTTGTGATGCCAGCGTGTCAATTTTAGATCTTTCTTGCTGTCTCCTGTGGGCATTTCGTGCTATAAATTTCCTTCTAAACACTGCTGCTGTAACTGTGTCCCAGAGATTCTGGTACATTGTGTCTTTGTTGTCATTGGTTTCAAAGAACTTATTTATTTCTGCCTTAATTTTGTTATTTATCTGGTAGTCATTCAGGAGCCAGTTGTTCGGTTTCATTCAATTAGTTAGCTGTGTGGTTTTGAGTGAGTTTCTTTTTTTTTCTTTTAAAAAGTATTTTCTGTTTCTTTTTTTTTTTTAATTGTACTTTAAGCTCTGGGGTTCATGTGCACATCCTGCAGGGTTGTTGCATAGATACACACATGACATAGTGGTTTGCAGTCTCCATCCCCTTGTTGCCTACATCAGGCATCAGGAGTGAGTTTCTTAATCCTGAGTTCTAATTTGATTGCACTGTGGTCTGAGAGACTGATTGTTATGATTTCTGTTCTTTGCATTTGCTGATGAGTGTTTTACCTCCAATTATGTGGTCAATTTTAGAATAGGTGAGCTGTTGTGCTGAGAAGAATGTATATTCTGTTGATTTGGGGTGGAGAGTTCTGTAGATGTCTATTAGGTCCACTTGATCCAGAGCTGAGTTCAAGTCTTGAATACCCTTGTTAATTTTCCATCTCATTAATCTGTCTAATATTGACAGTAGGGTGTTAAAGTCTCCCACTATTATTGTGTGGGAGTCTAAGTATCTTTGTAGATTCCTAAGAACTTGCTTTATGAATCTGAATGCTCCTGTATTGGGTGTATATATATTTAGGATAGTTAGCTCTTCTTGCATTGATCCCTTTACCATTATATAATGCCCTTCTTTGTCTTTTTTTTATCTTTGTTGGTTTAAAGTCTGTTTTATCAGAGACTAGGATTGCAACCCCTGCTTTTTTTCGCTCTTCATTTGCTTGGTAAATCTTCTTCCATCCCTTTTTTTGAGCCTATGTTTGTCTTTGCACATGAGATGAATCTCCTGAATACAGCACACTGCTGGATCTTGACTTTATTTAATTTGCCAGTCTGTGTCTTTTAATTGGTGCATTTAGCCCATTTACATTTAAGGTTAATATTGTTATCTGTGAATTTGATCCTGTCATTATGATACTAGCTGGTTATTTTGCCCATTAGTTGATGTAGTTTCTTCATAGTGTCTATTATCTTTACAATTTGGTATGTTTTTGCAGTGGCTGATACTGGTTTTTCCTTTCCATATTTAGTGCTTCCTTTAGGAGCTCTTGTAAGGCAGGTCTGGTGGTGACAAAATCTCTTAGCAGTTGCTTGTCCATGAAGGATTTTATTTCTCTTTTGCTTATGAAGCTTAGTTTGGCTGGATATGAAATTCCGGGTTGAAAATTCTTTTCTTTAGATTGTTGAATATTGGCCCCCACTCTCTTCTGGCTTATAGGGTTTCTGCACAGAGATCTGCTGTGAATTTGATGGGCTTCCCTTTGTGGGTAACCTGACCGTTTTCTCTGGCTGCCCTTAACATTTTTTCCTTCATTTCAGCCTTGGTGAATCTGATGATTATTTGTTTTCAGGTTGGTCTTCTCAAGGAGTATGTTTGTGGTGTTCTCTGTATTTTCTGAAATGGAATGTTGGCCTGCCTTGCTAGGCTGAGGACCTTCTCCTGGATGATATCCTGAAGTGTGTTTTCCAACTTGGTTCCATTCTCCCTGTCACTTTCAGGTACACCAATCAAACGTAGGTTTGGTCTTTTCACATAGTCCCAAATTTCTTGGAGGCTTTGTTCATCCATTTTCATTCTTTATTCTCTAATCTTGTCTTCACGGTTTATTAAGTTGATCTTCAATCTCTGATATCCTTTCTTCTGCTTGATCAGTTTGGCTATTAATACTCATGTTTGCTTCACGCAGTTTTTATGCTGTATTTTTCAGCCCCATCAGGTCGTTTATGTTCTTCTCTAACTGGTTATTCTAGTTAGCAATTCCTCTAAGCTCTTTGCAAGGTTCTTAGCTTCCTTGCATTGGGTTAGAACATGCTTCTTTAGCTCAGAGGAGTTTGTTATTACCCATCTTCTGAAGCCTGCTTCTGTCAATTTGTCAAACTTATTCTCTATCCAGTTTTGTTCCCTTGCTGGTGAGCCTTTTTGCGCTGTTTTTTTCTCTTCTTCGTGGATTTATCTACCTTTGGTCTTTAATGTTGGTGACCTTCAGATGGGGTTTTTGTGTGGACATCCTTTTTGTTGATGTTGATGCTATTCCTTTCTGTTTGTTAGTTTTCCTTCTAACCATCAGGCCCCTCTGCTGCAGGTCTGCTGGAGTTTGCTGGAGGTCCACTCCAGACCCTGTTTGCCTGGGTATCACCAATGAGGCTGCAGAACAGCAAAGATTGCTGCTTGCTCCTTCCTCTGGAAGCTTTGTCCCAGAGGAACACCCACCAGATGCCAGCCAGAGCTCTCCTATATGAGGTGTCTGTTGACCCCTGCTGGGAGGTGTCTCCCAGCCAGGAGGCACAGGGGTCAGGGACCCACTTGAGGTGGCAGTCTGTCCCTTAGCAGAGCTCCAGTGTTGTGCTGGGAGATCCACTGCTGTCTTCAGAGCCAGCAAGCAGGAACATTTAAGTGTAATGAAGCTGTGCCCACAGCTGCCCCTTCCCCCAGGTGCTCTGTCCCAGGGAGATGGAAGTTTTATTTATAAGCCCCTGACTGGGGCTGCTGCCTTTATTTCAGAGATGCCCTGGCCAGAGAGGAGGAATCAGTCTAGCTACAGTGGCTTTGCCGAGCTGTAGTGGGCTCCCCCCAGTTCAGACTTCCTAGTAGCTTTGTTTACACTGTGAGGGGAAAGCCACCTACTCAAGCCTCAGCAATGGCAGATGCCCCTCCCCCCACCAAGCTCAAGCATCCCAGGTCAACTTCAGACTACTGTGCTGGCAGTGAGAATTTCAAGCCAGTGGATCTTAGCTTGCTGGGCTCTGTGTGGGTGGGATCCTCTGAGCTAGACCACTGGCTCCCTGGCTTTAGCTTCCTTTCCAGGGGAGTGAATGGTTCTCTCTTGCTTGTGTTCCAGGTGCCCCTGGGGCATGAAAAAAAAAACTGCAGCTAGCTTGGTGTCTGCCCAAACGGCTGCCCAGTTTTGTGCTTGAAACCCAGGGCCCTGGAGGTGTAGGCACCCGAGGGAATCTCCTGGTCTGCAGGTTGTGACAACCGTGGAAAACGCATAGTATCTGGGCCGGAGTGCACCATCCCTCACATCACAGTCCCTCTCAGCTTCCCTTGGTTAGGGGAGGGAGTTTCTGGACTCCTTGTGCTTCCCAGGTGAGGCAATGCCCCACCCTGCTTTGGCTCACTCTCTGTGGTCTGCACCCATTGTCTAATCAGTCCCAGTGAGATGAGTCAGGTACCTCAGTTGGAAATACAGAAATCACCTGCCTTCTGCATTGATCTTGCTGGGAGCTGCAGACCAGAGCTGTTCCTATTCGGTCATCTTGACAGCCACTTAATATCTTATCAGAAACATTTTTCATGACACAATCTTCATAGTGATATTTTAGTTACTTCTTCCACGTTTTGAAAAAGTTTTTTTTTTAAACCAAACTTTCTATTTATCAAAGGCACATGAAAATGTTAATTACAGTTTCTAATTAGCATCTGATAATTACCTGTAGTGTAACCTCTGGTTTGGATTTAATTTGCTTGTGTGGACTGTGTGATTTATATCAGACTTTCTAGAAGTCCATGCTGAAAATAGTTTGCAACACTGTATTATTATCCTTACAAATCTCTAGGTCCATGAGCCTCAGGGTTGGAGCCACTGACTTAAAGGGTCCCCTCTCTCATGGAATGTTTCTGATAGACATAATTATTTTCTCAATGACTAAAAAGATCATTTCTTTTCAACTATTGTAGATGATCCTACAATTAATATTATTTTGTACGTTTCTGCTCTGCCTAGATCTTATGATATCCTCCTCTCCACCAAAAAATATTAGGGGCAGACTACTGAGCCCAAAGGAATAGGGAATTTTATTAATCAAGTGTTGCTGATGTTAGTTTGCAGATGGTTATTAAAAAGTTATTTACTGAAGGTGCACTTATAGTTGTCTTCCCTCTCTTTCCCTTCCTCCCTCCCTCCCTTCTTCCCTCCATCTCTCTGTCTTCTTTCCTTCCTCCCATTCAAAATTTGGGTTCCTAAAATATGCTGAACTAAGCATGTTAATTCAGAAATTCATAGAATGCTACCCTTGTAGATCTAGCTGGGATGGAAAAGGGTGGCGTTTACCAGAAGCAAGTAGATCCCCATTTCCTACAAGGCTCACAAACGTATCAATTTTATGAGGTATTCATTTATCATTTTATTACTAAATCTTCCCTGAATTTCTAGAGAATACACCCAGAATACTAATTAGAATAATTTTTGCACAGTACCTTTCTTATTGTAAATTAATCTGAGAAACTATAGCACAGATATTGTTTTCTTTTTTTCTCCCCTGCTTCAATCATTTGCTTGTACTCAGCAATTTCTATGGAAGAAGGTAAGAAATAGTATTTGGGGAAAAAACTCTCATCTCCGAAGTCTTTTAGAAATTTCTTGTAGTTAGAAAAATTCACATTAATTCAGTTCAGCTATTTATTAAGCTCTTCCTATATAACTAGTGGTGTGATAGTCATTGACATCTTAATTTACAAAAATATGTCATTTAAAGATATGTATGCAAAGTATAATTGTCCTGACACTGAGAGGAATAAAGAAAAGAGAAGTAACATTTACGTGTATCTCCAGAGTTTAGCATTGCATATGGAAATAACTCAATAAAAGCTGTGAAACTGATGAGATGTTTTGTTTCAACTGCATTATACACATTACCTAACAATAACATCATAGTGAAATTGTTATTATTATTCCCATTTTATGGATGAAAAGATTGACATTCAGAGAAGGTAAGAACAGTTGTCAGTAGTTGCAAACAGTGTAGTCTGGATTCAAGATTCCATCTGTCTAAAAGGCCTTGCATTAGGGAACAAATGGGACCTTCAGTTACTAGTCTTTCCCCTTCTCCATGCCCAACCATCTGAATGACTCATTTTGATGATGCTCTCTCTCTCTCTCTCTCTCTCTCTCTCTCTCACACACACACACACACACACACACACACACACACACGTATGCAACAAGGCAAGATGCTGTCTGCTTCCAGAGAGGGAAAAGAAGAGGTGTCCCCTTAGCCACCAGTACCCACATTTCATCCTTGAATTTGGAAAGGGAAACCAGAGAACTGCAGAATGACTTTTGAAGGCTGATCTATGAGTATAAGGCTCCAATCTGTGTCCCCACAAAACAAAAAAGCTATATGACACAGGAAGACAAGAGCAGAAGGAGAGGGAGAGGGGGACAAGTCGAGGGTGCCTGCTTCTGGTTTGTCTACTCAGGGTCACATTACAGGCTCCACTGTTATGAGTTGTGAAGGGGAGCTTGGACATGGCCCTTGAGGGGAGGGGGTGTTGGGAACTCTATGGTCTTGGTGGGTGATAAGGCCACTGGCTTAGCTTTGAGCTTCCATAATAAGATACCACAGACTAAGTGGTTTAAACAACAGATATTTATTTTCTCACAGTTCTGGAGGCTGAAGTCTCAGATTAAGATTCCACCAGGGTTGGTTTCTGGTGAAGCCTCTCTTCCTGGCTTGCGGACGGCCACCCTCTTGCTGTGTGCTCATGTGGTGTTGCCTCTGTGCATGCTTAGAGGGAGATGAGGTGGGGGAGAGAGAGAGGAGAGAGAGAGAGATTGATTTGGTGTGTTTTCTTCCTATAAGGCCACCAGTTCTATCAAATTAAGGCTGCAACCATATGACCTCATTTAATCTTAATTACCTCCTTAAAGGCCCTATCTCTAAATACAGCCATACTGAGAGGGCAAGGGCTTCAACATATGAATATTGGGGGGAACACAATTCAGTATATTATCCTAGCTGATAATGTGGAATTATTGATTTGAACCCTTCCAAGCTGCGTTCAGATCATGCTGTGGAGAGTTTTGAGAATTAGGATTAGTAGTTTTTAATGTTATATTCATTTATTCTCTTACACATACTTCAGGTAAAGGTAAAGAGAGCTCACATTTATTATTTACCATATGCCTGAGCATTTCATGCATTTTCTCAGTCCTAGCGTATATGGTAGGTACTATTACTATCCTCATTTGCAGATGAAGAACAGGGGCTTAGAGATCAACTAATTTGTGCAGCATTCAAAAGCCTATGGCTATACATTTTTAACCATTTAATGTTACATAGCCTCCCATGTCATACATTTTCATTTAATGCAGAGCCCCTTTTACCTCTCCAAGTGAGCATTAGTTGTAAAAGTAGCTTTATCATAAGGTGGCCTGAGTTTTATTGACATACATAGTTTTATTTTTATTTTATGAGTTTTATTGACATACATAGGGATTTTTTGTTTTTTTTTGAGATGGAATTTCATTCCTGTTGCCCAGCCTGCAGTGCAATGGAGCTATCTCAATTCACTGCAACCTCCGCCTCCCAGGTTCAAGCCATTCTCCTTCCTCAGGCTCCCTGGTAACTGGGATTACAGGCATGCATTACCACGCCCGATTAAGTTTTGCATTTTTAGTAGAGATGGGGCTTCACCATGTTGGTCAGGCTGGTCTGGAACTCCTGACATCAGATGATCTGCCCACCTCAACCTCCCAAAGTGCTGGGATTACAGGCGTGAGCCACCATGCCTGGCTGGGAATTTTGTTTTTAATACAGACACATTTTAAGTTCTATTTCTCCCTTTCTATACTCTTTTATAGAAGATGACATGAAGATTGACGAGAAATGTGTGGAAGCAGGTAACATTTTCTCTTGATTGCTTTGCAGTTAGAAAAAATATGAAGCATGTCAATTACAGATTATCAGAAGCAGAGGTGTCCAAAGGGCCATGGGCCTTTCCTCTGGGAGAAATGTGTAAAATGACCCTCCACCCCCACCTTTCTTCTGTAGTTCTGGCACTTGGAAGGAGAAGCTGTGGTAATGTCTCCAGGTTCCCACCAATGTACTAGAAAATGTCCTAGAAAGCAGTGCTTTGAAAATGATCTCAGGAACACTTAGGAACCCTCAGTGTGTCAGATGGCGGAACACTTGGAAACCTCTGCTCTTTGTGAAATACCATAAAATATTTGCAGTATCAAATTTTTAAAGAGCAATATATATTTTGTTATTAAGTTTGATGCCATCTTCTGGTAGATTCTTGTATAGATAAATAGTAGGTTCCAAAATTATGAGACATGCATGAAAGGTTTTACATTTCTATTCTTTAACTGTTTTGTAAATTGGGAAAAGATTTTTCAAATTTAGCAGCAGAACTAAGATTGGCTGAAGAATCACTAGGATTTTGTCGGGACACTAGTTGGAGAACTTTAGTCTGACAGGTGCATCTGCCTTTGCTTTATGGGCTAGTCTAGTTTTTAGAAGTGAAAGAGCAATATAAAATTTTAAAACAGTGGGCATTTCAATGATTCACATATATTTTCTAGAACAACTGCAGAATACTGCTGACATTATGTTTATTTTACCAAGTACACATTGCTTGTTAAACTTGCAGTAATATTCATTTCCTTTCTATAATTTTCATTACAATTTTATCAGGTAGTATGTTCACATAGTTCAAAATTTTAAAGCTACAAAGGTATATTCAGTAAGAAGTTCCTCTCTTTCCCTGTTCTCTTACTCAGGTTTATTTCTTGGGGAAATAAATGTTAATAGTTTCTTCAGTATCACCCCAGACATAATTCTGTGCACATAAAAGCAATGATGTATACATCTCTCTTCTTTCCCTCATCATTCCCATCTTTTCTCTTTCTTTCCCTAATCCAAATGCACAAACCCTTTGATGGCATAAAATGCACACACTGTTCTGTTCCTGGCTTTTCTAATTTAACATTCCATATCTTGGAGGTGATTCTTAGCACATAAAGAGCCTCAGTCTTTAATTTTTTTTAACAGCTTACTGTTTACTTATACAATCACTTATTTGTAGGCATTTGTGTTTGTCCATTTGTTTCTATATAAACAGTGTTACAAGGAATTGCTTCATAACTATATCATTTCACATGTGTGAGAATACCTTAGATGCAGCATTGCCTGATCCAAGGATGCATGCACTGGTAATGTTGCCATATATTTCAAATTGCCCTCCATATACTTTCTTGTTTCTTAATCCTTCATCTTTTTTTAAAATGCAAACAAGAGTTGTTTTAACTAATGAGGAATTTGTTTATCTCACATCCTTCTCAGTCACCTGATCAAGCCTACTCAGCCAAGCCATTCCTGTGCTCACTCTCTCCTTTTGTGGGTGCCCTACTCTTCAGGCAGGATGCACCCCTCCCACATCTGCAAGCCCTCTGCAGCAAAGCTGAGTAGGATCCAACAATCTATAGGGGTTTCCACTTTCCCCTCCCCCTGAGCTGCTTTTACATTTTGTTTTATTTATCCTCCATTATTTTATTTATTTATTTTAAGCCCTGCTGCACCTCTGACTGTCAACATGGCTCAGCTGCTGAATACCATGTCCTTCATTTAAAGTTTATATATGCCATAGAGACACCATCGATTTGATCTTGATTTAGGAAAAAAACTTAAAAGGTGGTGTATGGGCAGAAGTAGGGGCCAGAGAATTAGACTTAAAATATAGACTCAGTTTAGATGGTCATGTAATAACATTTTTGGTTTTTGCCTCCATGGAAAATCATAGATGAAGAAACATTTGAATCTGGTAAGTAAAAAAATGAATATGTGGTATTGATTTTTAAATGTATATTCCACATTTTGATACAATTTAGATACATATTTAGGGTTATAATAATAGGTTAAATATATCAACAGCAAAAACATTAAAAAGTAACTACATGTATCCCACATCATGTTGTCAACCTCAAATATACATTATAAATCTTTTTTTATTTTAAATTTTTTTGAGATGAGGTTTCTCTGTCACTGAAGCTGGAGTGCAATGGTGTGATCATGGCTCACTGCAGCCTCTAACTCCTAAGCTCAAGTGATCCTCCCACCTCAGCCTTTCAAATAGCTGGAACTATAGGCATACAGCATCACACCTGGCTAATTTATTTATTTATTTATTTATTTTGAGACAGAGTCTCACTCTGTTGTCCAAGCTGAGGTGCAAGTGGGATGATCATAGCTCACTGCAGCCTTGACTTCCTCGGCTCAGGTGATCCTCCCACTTCAGCCTCCCAATTTGCTGGGACTACAGTCCCATGCCACCATACATGGCTAATTTTTAATTTTTTTGTAGAAACAGGGTCTCACTGTGTTGCCAGCCTTGTCTCCAACTCCAGGCCTCAAGTGGTTCTCCCACCTTGACCTCTCAAAGTGAGCCACCATGCCTGGTCCCAATAAAATGTATTTTTAAAAATACAGCCACAGTGCAGTTGTGAGATGTAGATTTTACCTTAGCCGGTACTTCTCATAGGGCTAGTACTGTCCCTGATGTGGCATTTCGGAACTCTATGGGAGCATTTTTTTTTTAATTGCCACACTGATTGAGGATACTCCTGAGCTTTGACTGGTATCTCTTGACCCACATATCTTCTGAATGTCCTGCTGGACAAAACTCATTATAAATATAAAAGGGTCAATCTTTAACACACAAAAAGTTTTCATAAGATTTAGCATAAGAAGCACAGTGGTTTAGAAGATGGTCATTATGGAAGGAGACATTCAAACAGAATGCAGACATTGCCTTGTAATTATTGAATGATTTATTCCACGTATCCTGTCTGTTCGATATTGCTAGTAAATAAACCAGAAAGTAGGACATCTATACTGAATTTTCTTTTTCTTTAATATATTATTTGTTATTATTGATCACATATGGCAAGTGTCTGTCCCTCAAAATAATGTTGACATTATTAAAAACAAAATAGGCCCCACAGAATTTTACTTTTAAGCTGGAGTGCAGTGGTGCGATATGGGTTTACTGCAATCTCCGCCTGTCAGGTTCAGGTGATTCTCGTGCCTCAGCCTTTTGAGTAGCTGGGATTACAGGTGTGCACCACCACACCCAGCTAATTTTTGCATTTTTAGTAGAGACAGGTTTTCATGTTGCTCAGGCTGGTATCGAACTCCTAGCCTCAGGTGATTCACCTGCCTCAGCCTCCCAAAGTGCTGGGATTACAGGCATGAGCCATTGCACCTGGGCTGATATATATACTTTTAAAACATAAATTATTTCTTTTTAAATGTTTCTTTATATTACAGCTGGAGCATTGTATTGATTTTTTAAATTACATTTGTGGTATATTACACTATCTGAATTTCCTTTCATAAAAGAGAGATTGTTACAAATATTGGTTATAAAAAAAGACACCATTGAGACTGATGAGTTGTGAACCACTTTTCTAAATTATTTACATTTATGTTGTTTTGAAATTTCCTATTTTCCATTAGATGGTTGGCCTGTTAGGAATAACTTAATTGATTATTTATACTTGCTCAGTGTATGGAATTGGCTTAGTTTTTAATTCCTCTAGCTTATTCTCATCCTTCTTTGTTCTGTCTATCTGGAAAACACTCCACTCCATTCAAAGGTTGTGATTGAGGCTGGGGAGTTTGGGAGTCTGTGGGTAAGACCATGGACTCCAGCTAGATCGACCAGTTTGAACCCTGGGTTCATTACTCACTAACTGCGGGTTCTCTGGCTCTTAACCTCTCTGCCCTTCAGGTTCCCCATATCTAAAATGGGATCAATAGCTTATATGAGTAAAGTGCTTAGAACAGTGCCTAGCATACAGGAAGTGCTACACGAGTGTTAGTGGGTGTTATTATTGTGAAATCTTGTTCCTTGCATGAGTCAGCAGCTAGTTTTTTCAGAGCAGCACTGCAGAGGGAGGTGCCTACTGTAAAGCACCCTTTGTGGACTCCCCTTGGCTGAAAAAGTTACAGTAATATGTTCTGAACCCAGCTTTCTTAGGAGCTCGGTTAAGGAACAAATAGCACCCAGCTGGCATATTTTCTAAGCGAAGGACCCTTGGCTTCATTCCGTGACGCTTAACTCTGTTACTTAGACCGCTTAGTAAGCAATTAAGGTTCTTCAGTTTCGGTCTCTAGTCTGAATGAAGTATCATGTGACTTCCTTGAATTTCTTCAGGAGGTGATGTGGTGATGATATCGTTTATTTAATCAGAAACACCATAAAAAAAAAAAAAAAAAAAAAAAAAGGCCAGGCATGGTGGCTCATGCCTGTAATCCCAGCACTTTGGGAAGCTGAGCCTGGCAGATCACTTGAGGTCAGGAGTTTGACACCAGCCTCACCAGCATGACGAAACCCCATCTCTACTAAAAACACAAAAATTAGTAGGGCATGGTGGCTCATGCCTGTAATCTCAGCTACTCAGGAGGCTGAGACGGGGGAATCGCTTGAACCCATGAGGTGGAGGTTGCAGTTGAGCCAAGATAGTGCCATCGCACTCCAGCCTGGGTGACAAAGGAGACTCCATCTCAAAACAAACCAAAAAACAGAATATGGCTGTTTTGTGATGTCTGGAAAACAAATTAAACAGTTTGGTTTGTATTTGGTTGCCTCTGTCTTCAGAGGGCAGCAGGGGATGGAAGTGTGTGAGACACAGGAAGGGGAAGGAATGAGGACGCTCACTTGGGCCAGAGGCTGCTGCATTGCCAGCCCCAGCGCCATTTCTACCACATCCCCCTACCCGCTTCACAGAGCTGGCAGTACTGCTTCGGGGAGAGGAGAGAGAAGGCTCAAACCTGTTACCTTCCTATAACCTCTCCCTTTGAAGCCCCATTTTGTGCCAACCAAGCCTTCAGGGCCAGGTGAGGTGGCTCATGCCTGGAATCCCAGGACTTTGGGAGGCTGAGGCGGGCGGATCACAAGGTCAGGACATCGAGACCATCCCAGCCAGCATGGTGAAACCCCGTCTCTACTACAATTACAAAAATTAGCTGGGTGTGGTGACACCTGCCTGTAATCTCAGCTACTCGGGAAGCTGAGGCAAGAGAATCACTTGAACCTGGGAGGCAGAGGTTGCAGCGAGCCGAGATCACACCACTGCACTCCAGCCTAGCAACAGAGTGAAAAAAAAAAAAAAAAAAAAAGCCTTCAGGGAGAGTCTTGATAGGCAACTTTCAGAAACAGTTACTGTCCCAAGCAGCGGAGTCAGGGCGAATGGGTTTCTCAGTCCTAGTTGTGTGGTATTCATTTGCCTTGCCAGGCCTTATCTGAGTTACCTTTTGCTAGTGGTTATGTGAATGCCTTGCTTATGTAATTTGCCTTGATTTGATGGCTAACATGATCTTGAAAGCTTAACTTTATCATGTCTGTTTCTGCACTTACCCAAATATCCAGAGGAACTTTCAGAAGGTAATTGTTTTTATTTTCTAGATACGCCAAATAGAACTATGTTTAAGATCTCTCAGTGCCTCAAAATGAATACTTGATAGGATGGTGTTTCAGATGAAGATATGATATTTGTTGAACTTGACAGCATGGTAGAATATGGCAGAAAAAAAAAAAAAGAAACGATATGGTATTTGTTGTTGTTGTTTACAGTTTTCCCCTAATATTTACATTTTTTCCTCAGGAAATATGCTTCCAAACTAAGTTTGTGAGGTTTCTCCAAGGATAAGATATTTTAAGGGTGAAATCTATGATTAAATATTCAGCTTCATAGACAACATTTAAAACAACTATGAAAATAAGCTTTATGAATGTACTCCCAAGAAAACATTTCCTTTTAAACTTACTGACATATCTAAATGAGGAAATGTGCTGACTTACCAGAAGATAGAATTGATATTGGTGTGTTTTCTTTCTTTGTATTTTAAAACACATTTTTTAAAAGGTTAAGAAGTTTCATTCTATGAGCAAAATGCTCTCTCTCTCTCTATACACACACACACACACACACACACACACACATATATATATATATATATATATTGTTTTTTAGACAAAGTCTCTCTCTCTTGCCCAGGCTGGAGTGCAGTGGTACAATCTCAGCTCACTGCAACCTCCATCTCCCAGGTTCAAGTGATTCTCCTGCCTCAGTCTCCCAAGTAGCTGGGACTACAGGCACAAGCCACCATGCCTGGCTAATTTTTGTGGTTTTAGTAAAGGCAGGGTTTCACCGTGTTGGGCAGGCTGGTCTTGAAATCCTGACCTCAAGTTATCTGCCTGCCTTGGCCTCCTTAAGTTATGGGATTGCAGGTGTGAGCCACCACGCCCAGCCATATATTATTTCAATGATCAGAGCAGAGCTGTATAAATGAGAAGGAACTTAAGTAAAAAGTAGTTGAAAATAATATTGTTATAATATTTTTTTCTGAGGTCTCAGTGGAAGGAGGAACAGGAGTCTGAACTATCTCTAGATGCTTCAGAGGCATTGGGCAGTTTTCCTCATTTTGTCTCTCAGAGTCCTGGCCAGTCAGAGACATTTGGCAGCCATAGAGCAAAGCTTATTTGCTATAGAATAAACCCCTTTGAGAGGAAGAAAATAAAAACCCATATCTAGCAAAGAGATTAATTATAGGACCTGCAGAAAAAATAATGTTATAAACACAGTATGGTCAAGAACAAGGCTGGGCATGGTGGCTCATGCCTATAGTCCCAGCACTTTGGGGGGCTGAGGCGGGTGGATCACCTGACGTCAGGAGTTCAAGACCAGCCAGACCAACATGGTGAAACTCCATCTCTTGTAAGAATACAAAAATTAGCTGGGCGTGGTGGCGTATGCCCATAATCCCAGCTGCTTGGGAGGCTGAGACAGGAGAATTGCCTGAACCCGGGAGGTGGAGGTTGCAGTGAGCCAAGATCACGCCATTGCACTCCAGACTGAGGAATAAGAGTGGAAGAAATAAAAAGAATAAAAAGCTATTTAAACTTGTTTAAAGTTATACGTTATTGAATCATAGTAAAAACGTAAAAACTGGGTGTATATTTTTAAACAGATCCTAAGGAAACTTGTTTTAAAAAATTAATAAACTGGTTTTGGCTTTAACCATACTAGACAGAATACATTCAGTGTAATGCTCAAATTCTGTGAAGTGCATCTCTATAGTCTGTTGTGTGTGAATGATAGGATGAAAAATGCTTAGAACATTCAATGAGCCTCTCCATCTCCTAAATTCAACTAGGTTGCCATCTACTAAGGCAGTCACTTGAAATGTTGAAGATGATTTCATGAATTTGTCCTAAATAAACTTCTTGCTCTCACATATTCTGCTCCTGCTGTTCTCTGTGTTCCAGACAAGGAAGAATTTGTTGGCTATGGTCAGAAGTTCTTTATAGGTAGGTGGTAAATTAATAAGAAGTGGGTCGGGTCTCTGTTCCTTGTTAAATTATGTTTCCATGCCTGACACTGTTTTGAAAGTTTCTTTTGCTGATGGACCTTTCCAAACCTGTTCCTCATTCTAGTTTCCTTTTCTTTCTCTCCTTTATTGTCAATATTCTGATCTATTAAGTATTGATCGTTATTCATCTAATTTCCACTGGGTATCTATTAATTACTTATCAAGCACAAATCTTTTTGCTTTCTTCTAGACTGTTTCGTAACCTATTTAAATTACGCTAAAGAGACAAAGTCTCTGACTTTTAATCTTCTTATGGTCACATTTCTCTAATCTGTCACCTGGGCAGAGCTTTGTGAAAGACCAGGTACCACTCATCTACAATCACTCTGGGCTTCCTTTTACAGGGAGGGAGGGGAAGACTAGCAGAGCTGCAGGGTCTGTAAACTAGAAGGTTATTTCCCAAGCTGGATGCATTTTGGAATCATCAGGAGAGCGTGAAAAAAAAAAAAAAAGAAAAAGGTGATGGTACCTTTCTGTATTGCTTTCAGAATCATTCAGCCTAAATGCTATCAGGTGGAGCTGAGCCGAGTAGGCAGCTACACAGAGGTAGAGAATAAGGAGCATGAGCAGGGTGATGAAGCCATCTGTGCAGGCAACAGTGCCTGGTGCAGATTGTCAGAGCCAAAGAAAAATCAAGAGATCAGCTGCCATCACTTGGCCTCTGATACCTAACAGGCTTTACAAAAGATCCCTGTCTCATCTAGCTTGGGCTGTGACACTTTCTGCCAGCTATTGACACTGTCTGTCTCCCATCTTGCACAAGTGCTCTTGATTGATCCAATATGCAAATGTATTGAGGACGACAAGGGCCAGGTTTATCGCTGTTAGAGAAGGGAGTTATAAGCATTGAAAGGGAAGGTCTAGAGTGAATCCTGCGGTGTTGGATTGATATTGTAGGTACTGGTGTGAACTCATGGTTTTCAATATATAGACATACAAATATAGATGGAAGTGTGCATGTGTATTTGTATGTACACATAGAGTTGCTAACTCTGTCTATTGAGAGGACCTGGGAACAGCTCTGAAGATACCAGAAAGCCCTGTGATTCCAAAGGCAGATAAGCAGGAATCTAGGAGCTCAGAAATCATGATCCATATGTCCAGCTTTGCCACTGATCACACAGTCCTAATCAACCATGTAACATGTCTGTGTCTTAGTGAAGCCACCTGAAAAATGAAAAATGCACCTGCTCCACTCTTTCTACCCTGGCCTAAGCCACCCTCATCTCTCACTCAGACCGCTGCAGTAGCCCCCTAACTGCCCTCCCCTAAAGCCACACTTACTCTCCCTACAGTTTACACCCTTCCTTCAGAAACCAGAGTAGTCTTTCAGAAACATGAATCAAATCATGTCATCGCCAACAGCTTCCCGTCACACTTTCACCACAATCCAACACTTTTCAGAGGCCCTGTGTGATCTGCTCCAGCCATTTCCCCAACCCATTTCCATACTCCCTGTGCTTACTGCCCTGTAGCTACACAGGGTTCCTTCGGGCTCTCCAATGCTCCAAGCACAGTCCCTTTCTCTGCACCACTGCACTTGCTGTTTCTTGGCCTGGCTTGCTCATCCCCACAGAGGCTTCCTCATCTGGCTCCCTGCCTTCATCCAGATGTCTACTCAATGCCAACCTTTCAGAGATACTCTAACCTTACTACCTATCTGAAAAAGCACCTTTGTTACTCTCTATCCACCTAGTCTTCCTCTAAGTACTTATTTTTTGTTGTTTTTTATTTTTGTCTCTCCTCTTCTACAAAACATAAATTTCATGAGAAAATGGCCTTGGATTAGTTGACCCCTTTATCCCCACTACCCAGGACAATGCCTGGCCTAGAGTGGGTGCTAGATGGGCTAGCACAGAGGGCATTTTTGTATGTTTCCCTCATATTGCTTCCCGTCTTCTAACTTCAGACAGACGTGACTATATTAATGAACACTTCAGGATCATGGTTGCTGCATATTTCATCAGGTGTGAAGCTAGAAGTGATCTCTCCTGCCTGAATCTTATGTTCTGTGTGCTTCCCCTCCCCAGCTGGCTTCCGCCGCAGCATGCGCCTTTGTCGCAGGAAGTCTCACCTCAGCCCCCTGCATGCCAGTGTGTGCTGCAATGGCAGCTGCTACAGTGCAGTGGGTGCCCCTTACGAGGAGGTGGTGAAGTACCAGCGACGCCCTTCAGACAAGTACCGCCTCATAGTGCTCGTGGGTATGTCCCAGCATGCACTATCTCTCCTCATCCTTGGGAAGGTTTCCTTCTAGATTCAGGTGTCTTGCATTGAGAATAATGGTAAAAGTAGAACTTTTTATGGACCCCATACAAATACCTTTTTTAAAGAACAAAATTAAGCCATTGTACAAGTATGTTCATAAGTAAAATTTTGTTGTATCAAGCTTTTAAAAAAATCTACACGTGAATGTGATATACCATGGTGTCCACGAACTTATATAACAAGCATTATGATGCGGTTATAACTGAGATTTTTTTTTGCCTGCTTAGAATTGTTCTGTAAACATAGATGGATGTTCCCTGAGACAGATCATTAGCCTGCATCATGAAAATAAATCCTTAAAGTTCATTTCTCTGAGAAATGTGTTAAACCCTTAAAGTCCATTCCCCTAAGAAATTTGTAATTACTTATTTTAGAAAAGTATCTAACATCTTCTTGACTGTATCTTTGGTGCTTTATAAAGATCAGGGCAAATATAGCGTAGGAGTGACCTGCTTTTGTGACCATGACTTTTGCAAAGCTGGTCCTTGTAGCAGTAGCAGCTTGTATCCTACTGCCTTCCTGTGTTCGTGTTTAGCTTCATGAGTAAGGCAGCTCCCTGAAGAGCAGAACAATGTGCCTTACAGCTGGGACCAGCCGTATCATTTGCAGGCCCCATCGTAAAATGCAAATGCAAGGGTGCCTTCTTAAAAAATTATCAAGGATTTCAAGATGCAATAGCAGTGAACTCATCCAAGCACGGTGTCCTTCTAGGCATGGGCCCTGCGTAACTGCACAGGTTCTATACACGTGAAGTCAGCCCTGCCTCCAGTTGGACATGGGGGTGCTGACTCAATCACCTGTCAGGAATGTGCCTCTGAATTCTGTAAGTCACAGAACCTATAGTTGTCAAGGCTGATTTCTGGTTGTGACTTGATAAATACTTCATTTGAAGAAGAAAGGCAGTGCTCTCTTATTCTCTAAAATGAGATCAGCTAATTCTCCTGGCATTCAACATTGGACGAAGTTTGCCGGGGGTCAGGCTTCTGTGATTCCTTACCTCACTTCTGAATGTTGAAGCAATGTGGGTTATTCCATGGGTCGCTAGGAAAATTCCCAAGAGTTTTCTGGGGTTGTTCCAATTTATGAGAAAGGAAGTTACCTAATTTCCCTCAAAATATTTGCTCTCAAGTTTCTTCAAGAGAAGGACTAAAATGATTCCATCGCGTAATTATATTTATCCACATCTGATTATTTCTGTGTGTGACTTTTTGTGTTTAGGACCCTCTGGTGTTGGAGTAAATGAGCTCAGAAGACAACTTATTGAATTTAATCCCAGCCATTTTCAAAGTGCTGTGCCACGTATGTTTAGTTTTTCTTTCATAATCGTTTGTATTTTGTTAAAACATCCTTTGTTGGTCTCATTAAACTATGTCATTCCATCTTTGCTGTAAAAGTATATGACTCAAGGGATTCTTCCTGAAGAATTTAGTATTTCTAACCAATTTATTTGAATAGGAAAATTGACCTATTGGAATATAGGCGGCTAGGCTTTTAAAAGGTCTTTTTTCTATTTCTTAACAATTATATGGATGGCCTTCCAGGCAAACTAATAGTTAACAATAATAGCTCATGAGCACTCAGTGCTTGCTATCCTCCCAGCACTGTGCTTGGCTCTTTAAATGCCTTATCTATTTTTTAATCTAAAAATTGATATATGTACACGTAATTTTGTATAAATTTATGAGTATGATTATACGATACACAACCATTTTAAAAATGGTGTTTTTTGACTGGGCACGGTGGCTCGCATCTGTAATCCCAGCACTTTGGGAGGCCAAATTGGGCAGATCACCTGAGGTCGGGAGTTCAAGACCAGCCTGGCTAACGTGGTGAAACCCCATCTCTACTTAAAATATAAAAATTAGCTGGGGGGTGCTGCACGCCTGTAATCCCAGCTACTCGGGAGGCCAAGGCAGAGAATCCTTTGAATCTGGGAGGTGGGGGTTGCAGTGAGCTGAGATCATGCCATTGCACTCACTCTGGGCAAGAAAGTGAGATTCTGACTCAAAAAAAAGGGTGTTTTCTTATTTCCTTTTACTCATAACTCCTTTATTTCTCCTAAGCTCCCCATTCACTACTCGCAGCTCCAAACCAACTCCTGAAACATAATCTTCTAGGCTTTCTTCTATGTAGAATTGTGTGAGTTTTTTACCCATTTAGAGTTGTTGTATGAAGGTTTTTTTTTTTTTTTAAGCTTTAAGACATTTGAGAGCTACAATTCTAAAAATAGAAGGAATTATTTATTTCATACGGAGAGTCAGCCTTTTTTAAAAAAAAGTTTTAGAATCACTCTAAGAAAACCTGTTTTATTGTAAAAATAGAAAAGATGAAGACTTGAGATAGAATTCCTGATTTCAAGAAAATAGAAAGTTCATAATAATGCATGTTTATAATAATGTATAAATAACGCATAGTTTCTAATATGTGTAAAAGGAAGTTAAAATTTTGACTGAGACACTAAGATATACATCTTTAAATGAGGAATGTGCAAACAAGTTAAACTCTTCACCCAGCTGGAAGGTATAAAAGGCTTGGGGAGGGAGATTGATGGTGGCTTTTCAGGGAGGCTTTTATTGGAGAGAGCTGTGCTGTGTGTTCCTGACCCACTGGGTGTGTATGAGTGTGTGAGTGTGCCTGCTTCCCCTTCCCTCAAGGCAAGACAGAGGAACTTAGGGGGACGTCTTAGAGAGCTTCCTATGTGTCCCCTGCACTTTAGGAGACACTGAAGAATGGTGTCCAAATTATACCTGAAAAATCCAAAGGAGGAGAGCTTACAGGAAGTGGCCAATGCCTGTAATTTGGGAAGTAGCTGTCCTTGTAGCGTCCATCACAGCTACACTTGTGATATTCCCCAAGGACCAGATCTGGGCAGATAATGTGTAAGAAAGTCAGCCCAGGATTAGCTGATCACTGCCCAGGAAGAAGCCTCAAGGAAAAAAAGGCCAAAAGTGGGCTCCCAAATACATCGGGCTTTGGAAGGAATCACAGATGACGAACTGGATTAGGAATGGACTTGAGAGGCCTGGTGTTGGTGGTAAGAGGGTTTGCAAAATAACCCAACACATCATTTAGGAGAGAAAGAGCCAGATTTAAGCATCTGCTAAATCTAAAGGGAGTCAACAGCTGCCAGCATCAGTATTTGCCAAACCAGAACCTTCCTTCCTGCTTTCCTCTCCCTGCCCACACTCTAGGCTTAGAAAGTTCTGAACTAGCGGGAGAGAGATTGGTCAGGGGCAGGGAGAAGCAGGAGCAGTAGAAATTGATGAAAGGAAAGAGAACTTCAATTCATACTCTCCTTCCTGACATCTGGCTTCTCTGAGCACAGGCTTCCCTGGTGCAGCAAATCTGAGCCAGATGTGTGGAGACGCAGCCTAAAATCTAAGTGAAGTTTATAATTTTGATGATTACGTGGGAATGGAATTTTAATTACTCAGTTGAGACTGGATGATGAAAATGAAATTGTGGCATGAGTGATGATAGACTTTTAAAATTAAACCTGAGTGAGAGAATCATGGAAACTGTTATTTTTTATTTTTTATTTTTTTATTTTTTATTATCAGTCTCCCTCTGTCGCCCAGTCTGGAGTGCAGTGGCATGATCTCAGCTCACTGCAACCTCCACCTCCCGGGTTCAAGTGATTCTCCTACCTGAGCCTCTCAGATAGCTGGGATTACAGGCGCACACCAGCATGCTCGGCTAATTTTTGTAGTTTTAGTAGAGACAGGGTTTCACCATGTTGGCCACTCTGATGTTGAACTCCTTACCTCAAGTGATCTGCCTCAGCCTCCCAAAGTGCTGGAATTACAGGCATCAGCCACTGAGCCCAGCCAGGAAACTGCTAGATTTTTATGCAGGGGCTGGGGAAGATCTTGCCTCACAGAATAGCAATGGGAGACAAAGAAGTTGCTTTATGATCGCATCCCATAGGCTGTGCTTTCTGAAGTACTTTCTGAAGTATTCATCTCAAAAACAACAACTACCAAATAAATCACCATTTTTGTTTTTTTGAGACAGAGTCTCACTCTGTCACCCAGGCTGGGGTGCCGTCGTGGCACGATCTCGGCCCACTGCAACCTCTGCCTCCCAGGTTCAAGTGATTCTCCTGCTTCAGCCTCCTGAGTAGCAGGGATTATAGGTGCATGCCACCACGCCCAGCTAATTTTTGTATTTTTAGTAGAGATGAGGTTTCACCATGTTGGCCAGGCTGGTCTCAAACTCATGACCTCAGGTGATCCACCCATCTAGGCCACCCAATATGCTGGGATTACAGGCGTGAGCCACCATACCCGGCTGAAATCACCCTTTTTGGAAGGTCTGGATAAAAATGCCCACAGAATATGGAAGAATTTTAAGAATTTCAACATAGAATTTTAATTATTCAAAGTGAGAAAATACTGCCCATATTTTGCTTTTTAAATTGAAGTTTTAAGCTTAAAATTGATACTTTGAGTTATGCATCAATTCACAGACTTTAACCTACCATGTAAATATTAGTCCAATGGAAACAAAGGAGGAGAAGTCATCTTGGGTTTATATTGACATAATTCACGATCACCTGAGAGCTATAAGATTTTACTAGAATTTTTATTTTTTTAAGTAGGAAGTTATGGGAGATATGTGGCATAACTGCAGGAATGCTAAGGATCTGATGAGAGGCATGAATAAGGAAAAACAAAAATGACCCCAAAATGACATGTGCCTTTAGACTCCCTTAAATGTTGGTAACTCCTTTGATAATTTAAGGCTGGTTTTGAGCTCCTACTTGATCATTTCCCTGTATTGATATCATCAGATGTTGATCTATTGCATCCTTAAACTTTGTCAAATGCAAATATACAAATTCTTTATGAATAAGGGGAATTGGTGGTAATGTAGATTAAGGGACTAGCTTTATAGTATATAGGATGCAGAGCTGAAACTGTGTCTTACTTATCTTTGTGTTTTCAGAACCTAACGTGATACCTGGAACATAGTAGGTATTCAGTACACACTAGTTGAATAAATGGATGAGCAGACTACAAATAACTTTTAGATACTTGATGAACTCCAATATTCTCTACCACCTGGCACTATTTAAGTTGAAGAGTCTGTAATCAAAGTGGCCATATCAAAGAATCAGACGGAATCTAGACTCATCCAATCTTTCCCTCCTAGAGATCCCTAAATGAATCACCACTCACTTGGGTATTAATGCATCAGTCTTGACCATAATGCATCTGGCCAAGACTGCAGAATGTCATGGGCTTTTTCCATTTCAAATTTAAGAATCTATTGTCATAGGAAATATTCATCTAGGGGGAGTCAGAACAGAAGTTCTAATTCAACTTCACTTTTCATGAGTCTTATGAAATGTGAGTAAGTTTCTCCAAAAGCTTTACTTGTGAGTAAATTATAGACATTAACAGTTTACCTAGGATAAGAATGTGGAGGATGAAATGAGATCATGGGAAATGCACTATCCAAATGTATGATATTATTGGTATTGCTACCTAGGAACCTCTAGGCATCTTAGGGTTCACATGTAATTCACTAGCACTTGTTTTGAAGTAATAACAGGTGTCCCCTGAGGTCTTTCTCATCCTGGCTTAATACCTAGTGCATTCTTTTCCACACCATCAGCACTCAATAAAGGTTTATAGACTGATTTTGATATAAGACCTTACCACCAATTCAGACTTCTTCTCTTTAGTTCTAGCATTTTCTTTATCTATTTGATTATATATTCATCTATTTATTTTGAATAGCTATCTCTATTTAAATGCATACTGGTAATAAAGAATTTTGAAGACTCTGAAATCTTTCATTCCCTTTTTTTTGATAGACACTACTCGTACTAAAAAGAGTTATGAAATGAATGGGCGTGAGTATCACTATGTGTCCAAGGAAACATTTGAAAGCCTCATATATAGTCACAGGTAAAGTAGAGGTTCAGAAGCTAATTCTTGCCTCTGGTTATTTTACATTCAAAATAGATTTCCTATTTTTATGTATTTTCCAAAGCTCCTGGGTAATTCCTTTTGTTTCTGAGGAGTTAAGCAAGAAATGTACATTGATATACCAGCACACCAACTCACTGGGTTTGGAAAGGGAGCAGAATGGAGTTTGCAAACCTAGGAGAACTTGAGGAAATACATAAATTTTAGATATCCTCATTTTGTTCGCCTCTTGAATATCTATTATTTTCTTCTGTGCTAATAAAGTTCACATATTTATATTCAATTGTAGTGCAGTTTATCCTCATGTTACTGCTAATAATATTTTCCTTGTAGAAAGCATTCTGTTTTGTTTGGCCTGCCCTTGCAGGATGCTGGAACATGGTGAGTACAAAGGCCACCTGTATGGCACTAGTGTGGATGCCGTTCAAACAGTTCTTGATGAAGGAAAGGTCTGTGTCATGGACTTAGAGCCCCAGGTGGGTCCATGGTGGAATACTGAATGCATGTCATCCATTTTTTTGTGCACATGCTGTAGATTATAGTTGAGACATTTATTCTGTTAGGCTTTTAAGAATAAGGCCATTTCTCATATCTAAGATCTTACATAATATGTCAATTGACAACATTTTGCTTTTAGTTGAGAAAGAAGTCTTGCTTCTCAGACAGAAAAGCAGAACTGAGTGGGTGGCCATGAAGAGAAGCAAGTATCTTTCTTGCTTTAACCTTGATCACAAAGGCATCAAGGTAACTTCTTGTTGCTTTGTGCAAGGAGGTGAGGTTTCTATGTTGTCATATCTGTGGCTACCTTCCTGAGATCACATGTAGAATGGAGCAGGGGTAAGTGAGCTAAGGTAAGATAAAGAACATGCAATCCGTAGGCCCAATTTTTGTGATCTTCGTATTTTCTTTCTGTGTGTATGTTTGTTTTGTTTTTTGAGACAAGGCCCTCCTCTGTAGTCCAGACTAGAGTGCAGTGGTGCAATCTTAGCTCACTGCAACCTCCGCCTCCTGGGTTCAAGCAATTCTTGTGCCTCAGCCTCTCAAGTAGCTGGGACTACAAGTGCAAGTCACCATGCCTGGCTAATTTTTATATTTTTACTAGAGACAGGATTTCGCCATGTTTGGCAGGCTGGTCTGGCAACAGAACTCCTAGGCTCAAGCAATCCTCCTGCCTCGGCCTCCCAAAGTGCTGAGATTATAGGCGTGAGCTATTGTGCCCAGCCATGTTTTCTTAGTCGTTTAGAAATTTACATTGTGTTCTAGAGAATCAGAGGAAAAAAGATGGCAGTAGTATCCAATGTGAGATAATAGCAAGAGGAAAGGGAAGTGAAGGTGAAACAGAGCTCATCCATCTTGACAGTTTGTCTTTGTCTTTGTAATATGAGATAATGTATAGAATCCTACTCTTAGTACATGAGATTCTCACATGTATAGACTCTTACTCATCTAGTTAGATTTCAGTAGCTAGTCATAGCTAGTAAGAGTCAGGATTTGACCTTAATTTTTATTATAAAACCCCATCTCTAAATTATTAAAATGTTTTTTAGAATTAAGGAATTGGGGCACATGAGACTATATTCTAACTAAAAATAATTGCTAATTTCTGGTCTTAGAAATTTTGAGAAGCTTCATGTTGACTCTAGAAAGTTAGATACAGTGGTCAGGTGCAGTGGCTCATGCCTATAATCCCAGCACTTTGGGAGGCCAAGATGGGAGGATTTCTTGAGGACAGGTGTTTGAGACCAGTCTGGGCAACACAGTGAAACCCCATCACTACAAAAAATAAAAAATTAGCTGGGTTCGGGTGTGGTGACTCATGTCTGTAATCCTCGCACTTTGGGAGGCTGTGGCAGGCAGATTACTTGAGGTCAGGAGTTTGAGATCAGCTTGGCTAACATGGTGAAACCCCATCTCTACTAAAAATACAAAAATTAGCTGGGCGTGGTGGCACATGCCTGTAATCCCAGCTACTAGGGAGCCTGAGGCATGAGAATTGCTTGAACCTGGAAGGCAGAGGTTGCAGTGAGCCGAGATGGCGCCATTGCACTCCAGCTTGGGTGACACTGTCTCAAAAACAAAACAAAATAAAATAACTGGGAATGGTGGCACGTGCCTGTGATCCCAGCTACTCAGGAGGCTGAGATGGGTGGATTGTTTGAGCCTAGGAGGTTGAGGCTACAGTGAACAATGATTGTACCACTGTACTCCAGCCTGGGTAACAGAGCAAGACCATGTCTCAAAACAAAACAAACAAAAAATAAATGTGCATTTAATTTTTCTGTGTAGGATATTCAAGTGGCTCGAACCCATGAACTGAAGCCCTATATCATATTTATAAAGCCATCTAATATGAGGTGTATGAAACAATCTCGGAAAAATGCCAAGATTATTACTGACTACTTTGTGGACATGAAGTTCAAGGTAACAGCAAATCAAAAATTGCTGTATTGCTTTCAGTGACTTCTGGTGAGAGAGATTTGTGTTGGGCCAGGCCAAGGAACTCTGATTGCATTGTCCTCCTCCTTCTTTTTGAACCCCCTCCCCAAAAGGTCCTCAATGAAATTATTACTATAATTTTATTTTACCAAAAAAAATCTATATAAAAAATTAAAAACTGTATTGTTTCTATAGGACCTGTGTTAGAGAATGTAATTTTTGTTTCTAATGGTAATGCCCTTATGATTTATCGTTTTTGATAGACATCACTTACAGATATAAAAATAAAGTTTAATAAATGTTACAATGCTATCCTTTTTTCTTTATTCTTTTTTTTGGACTAGCTTAAAAAAAATCCTTGAGCCATAGTTTGCACAGCCAAACAGAAATTGGGCATATACAAGCCTGATATTTGTATTTTAAACAGATTTTACTTAAAAGCTTACTTTAAAAATGCTCTAGGGAGTATATCTCATCTGTAAAATGAGGCGTCTCACAAAAAATTTTATTAATGATCATGGTAATAATAGAGGGGGCAAGCCAGGAAAAATTAATCAGTGATCCCATCCTAGAACAGGGGAGTTTTTCCAGTTGGATACATATATTTTACATTAAACACACTTTAAATATTGTGAGTCATAACATATATTCAGTAAGGTGTATAAATTGAGTGTACAGTTTAATGAATTTTTATGTGTGTATGCACCCAGATAACCATTACCCAGATAAAGATATTGTAGCCACTTATTTTGTGTGTGTGTGTGTGTGTGTGTGTGTGGTAAAAACACATAAAACTTACCATTTTAACTGTTTTAAGTTCAGTGTTAGTATTAAGTTAGTGTTAAGTATATTCACATTGTTGTGAAACAGATCTCCAGAATTTATTTACCTGGCAAAACTGAAACTAAAAATATGAATGATACACTAAAAATTTGTATGTCATCCTTGTACAAGGGGCATGCTAATTTCTGCATTGTTTCAGTTTTAGTATATGTGCTGCCAAAGCAACCACAAGTATCTTTATTCTTTCTCTTATTATTTTTCTTATTTTTTTCAATGACTATGGAGATCTGATTTTCCAGTTTGCCTTGTGAACAGTGGAGTCCATGAATGTATTTGCTGAGTATTATGGGCATTTAAATTTTTTCTTTTTATGACAGTCTAAACAAATTAACAAAATTGTTTCTGGATCATATGTATAGTCATTTTGTAAAGCCATAAGATTTCGGTGCCTGCATTTGTATTTGTGTTTCAGATTGTATTGGTGACAAGTTGTACTATTTTGTCGTGAACTAATAAGAAAATAGCAGCAATGAAGTTAGTGTATTAGTGCCAAGTGAAGCCTAAATTATCTTCATTAAATGAACATTTCACAATAGTAGAAATAGATAATATAACTGGCTTATACCATCCTCATGTTGAAAGTGACCATTTTATATCTTTAAAATAATGTTATTCCTATCAGATTAATGTTCACTTGAAATTTATGTTTAATTTAAACTGGTACTTTTTTTTGGCTTTATGTTGTATATACTTAGAGAGCTTCATGTTTATATAAGAGTTAAAATAAATTCACATGGGAAGTTGAGGGGAGTAATCTGTCTGCAAACTATTAATAAATTTTACAAAACATCAACCAGACATTAAGACTAAAGATGGAAACATAAGTTTTGTAATTTAGAAGACATTTATTGGACCTCACTGGTTATAGTTTCACAACTGAATGTGCCAGCATAGCAAACCGTATTTTTTCCATTTGTCTAAGTTTGTACTCTCTGTATTTTTCTGTATTTCCTAAAGGACGAAGACCTACAAGAGATGGAAAATTTAGCCCAAAGAATGGAAACTCAGTTTGGTCAATTTTTTGATCATGTGATTGTGAATGACAGCTTGCAAGATGCATGTGCCCAGTTGTTGTCTGCCATACAGAAGGCTCAGGAGGAGCCTCAGTGGGTACCAGCAACGTGGATTTCCTCAGATACTGAGTCTTAATGAGACTTCTCGTTGAATGCTGGAGTTTTAACACTGTACCGTTGTCACCGCCATCTCCAGCTGCAATCTAAAACGGCAGTATTTGACCCATTATAATGTGTACAACTTTAAAAGTGAAGCAGTTTATTAACCTTATTTGAAAAAAAATTTATTGTATGGTTATGTAGTTACCTATTTGGCTATTAATTTTTTTCCTTTACCTCATATGAAGCTGTGGTAGAAATACGAATAATGTTAAGACACTGAGTATGAGACTTTTGCAGATTTCACATGATCTTTTAAGATTCAAATAAAGAGCTTTCCTAAAATAAGCAATATTTAATTTTAGAAATTGTATTCTACTCTATGAAATGTGTTTTATGAAAACATCTTTTACAAAAAGTGCTTACTTGACTAACTCAGCAAGAAAGGTTTAATATACACATTTTCACACCTAACATCAAAACCTACAAAAAACTGCACTGCCTTCATTATTTACAAATCAGGCTACAAGGAAAAAATTATTCTCATCAGAGGTGTGACAAACACTAATTTTCCTTACAGCCAATATCTACATGCATGCCTAAATTAGAAAAAGGCAATGGATTAGTCCTAGAGACCTGTATATAGAAAATAACAATATTGAAACTGTGTCTCAGAGTTAAAGAAACCAGGGACTAACAGAAATTCTTGAGCATGCAGAATGGCAGATAAAAAACAACTTGCTAAAATGCTGAAACTTCTTCCATTGTGAGATTTAAAACAAAAACAAAAAAACTGGCTGAAGTTGGTTAGTACTAACACAAATGGCTACCTGGAGTCTGTACAAAACGAACTTGCTGGCGTCACAGCTCGAATCTACTCCCATGTTTCATACTGACTTCCTCCAAAATTTGCACATGCAACCCATGAAGGGACATGAAATAACTGTGAACGCCAGAGGATTTTCCAGACTGCTTATTTCCTTCTACCAATCACCTAGAATCCACTCCCTAAACCTTTTCTAATAAAAATACTGTCTTAAAGCCAGCACAGGGAGACAGATTAGAGCTATACTCCTGTCTCCTTGTTAGTTAATTCACAATAAAAACTTTTCTCAAAAAAACAGTGCCATAATACTGGCTTCTGTGTGTATAGGGCAACAAGACTCTGTTTGGCAGCAAGATTAGGATCCATTACAAAGTCTTGTTTCCCTTTCTTCCCCCAGATTTGAGATTTCCAGATGCTTTCCCTGTTCCTGTATATGTTCATCTTCTCCATCATTCTCCTCTCCTTATTTACACCATTATTCCATCTTTCCCATCTCTTTAACTGTAAAACAGAATGCACGATTCAAATATTTATAGAGACATGCAAATCAAAACCACATTGAGATACCATTTCACGCATTAGAATGGCAATCATTAAAAAATCAGGAGACAACAGATGCTGGAGAGGATGTGGAGAAATAGGAACACTTTTACACTGTTGGTGGGAATGTAAATTAGTTCAACCATTGTGGAAGACAGTGTGGTGATTCCTCAAGGATCTGGAACTAGAAATACCATTTGACCCAGCAATCCCATTACTGGGTATATACCCAAAGGATTATAAAACATTCAACTATAAAGACACATGCACACGTATATTTATTGCAGCACTGTTCACAATAGCAAAGACTTGGAACCAACCCAAATGCCCAACAAAGATAGACTGGATAAAAAAAAATGTGGTACATATACACCATGGAATACTATGCAGCCATAAAAAGGATGAGTTCATGTCCTTTGCAGAGACATGGATGAAGTTGGAAACCATCATTCTCAGCAAACTGACACAAGAACAGAAAACCAAACACCACATATTCTCACTCATAAGTGGGTGTTGAACAATGAGAACACATGGATACGGGGAGGGGAACATCACACACTGTGGCCTGTTGGGGGGCAGGGGATTAGGTGAGGGATAGCAGGGGGTGGGGGGATTGGGGAGGGCTAACATTAGGAGAAATACCTAAGGCGGGTGGGGATGGGTGCAGCAAACCACCATGGCACGTGTATACCTATGTAACAAACCTGCACGATCTGTACATGTACGCCAGAACTTAAAGTATAATTAAAAAAAAATTGTAGTTCTCTGCTAGTTATGTTAAAAAAAAAACACAAAAACACCCAACCAAACAAAACTATGCAAATTAAGTCGTTTGTAGTGATATTTATGTGACGTCGGATTTCATTTTAAGGTTCTTTGAGAAAAAGTTTTTCCAAATTTGATTTACACGGTTGTGGGATGAAGGGTAAGCAATTGGAGGAAATGTGAGAATTGCCTGTATCAATACACATCCACACACCAAGGCTCGCAAAGACTTGTTGGTCCTGGAGAGTAAACGCGTTCGTCTGTAACCCAGCAGGCTCTGGCAGAGCCGAGGCGGGCGGGGATCTGGCTCAGGGGGCGGTGTCCTCGCCAAGCGCCAAGAAGCCCGGCGTCCCGCAGATCGCGGCGTCGCGGGGAGCTGGGCTTGGACCGTCAGCGGTTGCGCAGGAAGAGCCCAGCGGGGAGAGCACCATGAGGGCTGACTCGGGGCCTCGGCTGGAGGAGGGCCACCTGGTGAGCGGCGAGGGGCGCGTCGGCCTCGAGAGGTGGATGATCAGCCGCTACCCAGGCAGGGGGAATGGGAGGGCGGCGCCAATGAGCTGGGGATCACTAGCGGAGGGCCTTGTTCCTGGAGTGCGCGCATCCGCCCCTCCAGGAGTGGGACGGGGACCCAGGCGAGGCCGGGACCCGAACTCTCGGAGTCGGAGAGGGGCCTGCCATGAAGTTTCCGGGGACCTGAGCCCGCGTTGCCACAACAACGCTTCACTTCTCTGCGGCCCGGGGCCCGGCGGGTTCCAGGGCTTCCAGCTGGGCCTCTCCTAAACTCGGAGGAGAGGGCTGTAGCCGCCCAGAAGAGAGATCGCTGCTTGCCTGCGGAGTCCTTTAACCAAGGTCTTCTCTCACTCCCCGCTCCTCGCAAACAAATCACTGCGACTACTTAGGAAACCACGGAAAAACTGTGATTGGAGCGCTACGGCCGCCGGATCTCTGCTCCTGGGCACATTACCCCCGACTCCGAGGTCCCCTTTTCGGCAGGGTTAGTCTGGGACCGCCAGTCCACGTCCCAGCGCGCCTCTCACCCCGACGTCCCCACAGGGGGCTGAGCGCAGGGAATGAGTCCAGCGGCGCGGCCCGATGACGCATTGCGCCTGCGCGCGCGGCCGAGCCGCAACGGGTGGGGCGCCCTGCGCCTTCTGGCCGGCGGTAGCCGGGGCTGGCTAAACGCAGAATGGGGAAGAAGCCTGTGGTAAGCGAGCCTTAGCTAGTTTTAGCTGTTAGGATTTTTGTCTTCAGTTGAGTCGTCCTACTTTTGAGGATTAAAGATTGGGTTTCTGGGTGCGTGGAACGTCATTTTTGCGGGACTTTTGAAATCAGTGACGTGAACTGATTCTTTAGATCAATCGCGCGTTTGGTAGCATCTTTAGAACAATAGCACGTTCCCGTGACTGTGTTCTTTTCCAGATGTAATTTTGACTACCAGATGGTATTACGGCAGCTTGCCTCGTCCTAATCTTGCAGTATCTGCATTAACCTGCTCTAACAAATGGAATGCTAAATGAGACAAACTACAAGAGTGTCTGAAATTTAACTATTTTGAATAAATATCTTTTGCAAGCAGCATGAGATACTTGGAACATTAAATAGGCTTCTAGGCATTTCTGTTAGTATTTGATTCTGAAAACACTTCTCAACACTAATGCTCTCTGAACTTCACTTTTCTTATTCATGTAAATGAGCATTTAGAAGGGTTTCCCCCATCATTCTTTCTGCCCTAAAACTGTTTCTTCCCAGTATTTTCAAGTGGCCTTTTAAAAAATTGTGTTATAGTATATATTATTATATATATTTTTAACATTGTTTCTAATACTCAACCACTAGAATGTAAGTTCCATAAAAGCAGGATTCTCTCTGTTTTGTTCACTAGTGTATCCCAAATGCTTAGAAAAGAGCCTGGCGTGGAGATAAAAAGGAATGTAGGAAGGAAAGAATTTTATATGAAATTTAGAATGGCAGAACAAATTTTAAATTGCCCATGTTTTTCATCAGTACCTGTCAAGCATCACTGATGAACAGGATTATCAGGGGATTTGAAGATCCTATTTCTGATCCATTATATTTTTCTGTTATGTCTGAACAACAGACTTGAAAGAATAGCTTTGGCTGGGCACAGTGGCTCACTCCTATAATCCCAGCACTTGGGAGGCTGAGTTGGGCGGATTACCTGAGGTCAGGAGTTCACGACCAGCCTGGCCAACATGGTGAAACCTCATCACTACTAAAAATACAAAAATTAGCCAGGCATGGTGGCCGGTGCCTATAATCCCAGATACTTGGAGAGGAGAATTGCCTGAACCCAGGAGGCGGAGGTTGCAATGAGCCAAGATCGGGTCAGTGCCCTCCAGCCTGGGCAACAAAGCAGGAATTCATCTTAAAAATAAAAAAAAAAAAAAGAATAACTTTATGGTATTTGGGATACATGAAGTAAAGATTCTCTAGGCTTTTACTTACAAGCAAATTTCATTTTCTTTCCTCCCACAGCGTCCTCCACGAGCCCTTCCACCTGTGCCAAGGTAAAAATTATATATTAATTTCATCACTGAGCTTTAACAATGGAAAATGAAGACAGTGGAAAAATTGACTAGTACCATTGCAAAATTATAATGATTCAGGAAAATCTTCTGAAAATTTAGGGATTTTCTAAAATTTTAAAGGTGAAAAATCCTTGAATTATAAGACTAACAGTTATAATTGAATGTTATATTTAAAAGCCTGAATATCAACATGGTAAGATAATGGATCCATTCCCATTCTAACTGTTTTAGTGTTTTTTTTTTTTAACCTTAGAATATTACCTTATTTGAAGCTGAGTTTTTTTTAAAAATCAAAATTCTGATATTTTGTTTGTGAGAATAGTTTCCTCAGAGTTTAAGCTGATTTTAATCAGTGACAAGTAAGAGTTCTTAATCTGCTTAATCCACTTTATTAATAGACAGTAGGGAATATGTATATGTAAAAATATTGGCATTATTTTATTAGCAGTGTTATTAAACAGCTTATTAATTATAAACAATAAGCTAGTTTGTAAACTAGCTGATATTACGTGAAGCTAATTTTATTTTAAATTTGTAATAAGTCAGTTTTCATTGTGAATAATAACAGGTTTCCAATTGTTTCTTTTTTTTGTCTTTGTCCTGCTGATTAAATTTGTTTGGTGTTAACATGACGTGTTAGTCAAGGTGAGTTAGTTTAATGTCAATATGAAATTTTCCAAATAT